TATATGGATAAAAAGTTATATTTCTTTGCAACTTGCTGTTTCAGCACACTTTAAACTCACACGTGTGTTACATTGTTAAAGACTCAAACATATGTTTTTATAAATATGTAAAATTTTATACATGCATTTATATAATTTTTTCAAATCTGAAACTAATTAATTAAAACAGCAAAGATAAATACTAAATGATTAACATTATAGAATACAGACGAGTTAAAATCAACTCGCACTGTGTCAAAAGCCCGGGAATAAAAGTGTGTTTTCAAACAAGACTAGTTGTTATATAATATATATGAATATATGATCAGCTTACTTTATAATTACGTTTGATTCAACTCCACACGTGCTGCTTTATTAAATATAATAGTAAAAAAATTATAATGTATTGACAAAATAGCCAAACTACGGGAGTTTTACGACTATTGTTACAGTATTTACATATAAAATAGGAGAAAAGAACAAGAAAACCTGTTATTGTTTTTGTAAACACTGTATTATGAACGTTTTCAAGTTATGTTTTATATTGATATTATTTTACTAAAAGGATAAAAAGGAAAATAATTTAGTCATAGCCACTTTGAGGTACAATATTGACAATTTTTACGTTGGCTATCAAGGTATTGTTAAAAAAATAAAATAAGTTATCCACGTGTTTTGTTGGTGATTTGATCAGGATTCTAATGGATTTGTAATTTTAGATAATTTATTTTCTCAGCTCTCAGTTTAGATTACTGACTGCTCAAGTCTTTTTTTTTTATTGTAACATTTAATCAGCGCCGCTGTCTTCGAACAGGAAGATTGAACACATAGGAGTCCATCCGGTGTGAATAAAACCCTCTATCTTTCCTCTCAATGATTTCCTTCACTCGCCGTGTTTTCTCTCTCTGTACGCTCTTTAAATGCAGAGGAAGAGAGTAACGCTGACGGAAACTGCAGTTAGACCGTGGAAATTATCGCAGTGGTAAAAAAACAAACAAAACAAAACAAAAAAAAAAACGCCACGATGCAGAAAACTTCTCACCTTAAACGTGAGAACCAAGTAAAATTCTGTTTGCCATTTGGGGGATCCCCTGGTGCACAGAATTTACTTTTACCTTTACAATTTTATTTGGTTGGCATATATTTAATATAGTGATTGAAGTGATTATGAACTATAGTTGTAGTGTGTTGTTTTTATTTTTTTTAGGAGGACCCAAAACAAAATTTCACAACCAGAAGATGCATAAAATACATAAAGCTGAAACCACAATTCTAATGCGCAGTTCGGCTTTTATTAGGACCTCCAAGTCCAAGTGGTTGTAATGTCTCGGAACCCTTCACGTGTCGCATTAGAATACTGAAGTAATTTTGTTTGAGAAAAGAATATTCGTATTCGTAGAATTCGTACCCATTTGCTCACACGGACTCATGTTCGGGCTGTTGTTGTTTTGCATAATTAGTGTTTAGTGGATATCTTGGATCGTTTAGCGTATCATTTGGCGTTCCTTTACTCAAAAGTTTCTTTATTTGTCATACACACCACATGTGGTACATGTGGTGGAATGAAATTGTGTACACAGGGTCCCGGTTACATCCAACAGAAGTATAAATTGTAAAGAAAAACACTCATAATATTTAAGATATGAACTAAGAAAAACGTTAAACTAAAATCACGCTAGCACTAGTAGTACTAAAACAATACGCCGAACAACAGCAATACGTATATCTTAGCGTAAATCTTAGGTCCTTATTTACTGTTTCTTTTTACACTTTTATATTTTTACTATTGTTGGTATAGCTGGGACCCTTTGTACACAGTTTCATTCCACCTCATGTGGTGAAATGGCGATAAACCTTGAACTTGAATCATATTGAATCAGCCATTGCAATGGGTTTTAACAGTGGATAGGTTTCTATACCTCTAAACCACTGGCGTGTGGCTCATTTTGTGGGTTGGCTCATTAACTAACCAGCCAAACCACTAATTGTATGCAGACCGATAGGCTACTTGTTGGTCGCATTCTGTTGCTTTCATTCATTTATTTAAATAAATGATATTCAATGACAGTTGGAGGGAAGGCAGTCCAATACATTACAAAGATTCCTTCAGTTGGTGTATTCGCCCCCTTTTTGACATGATCTCTTATTTCTTCTAAAGGTTTTGAGTACAATGGAAGGCATTTGGCTCACCGGTTCACGTAAAACCCAATAATTTAAGTAATCAAATGTTAGGACGTATTCTGGAGCAACGCCTCCAACAAAAACACCTTCGGTGCAAAGTCTAGTGGTCCACATCCAAACATCTGCATCAACGGGATCTTGAGATCTAGACACCAAATTTACAGTGGTTCTATTATTTCCTATTATTAGTCCCAGAGACTACATGAAAATTTAATCATAAATATATTTAAAACCTGTTTTGCTGTTGTCCTTAAAGTAGTTTATTGGAAGACAATAGGTTTGTCCACCATAGGGTTTGCACCTTTGCAACTCTTCGTAACTGATGCAGAATTACAATTTGAGGAGTGAATTGAGAGTATTGGCAGATACTTAATCTAAATGTCTTGGTTTAATACTGGAGACAAAAAAAAAAGTAATTAGGACATCCAAAGTTACCACCCTAGCCTGGTAGGGCATCCATAGCAATAAATTCAGTCCCTAATTCGGTAATGTTATTCACCTTATCACTAGCCTGTGGAAACATGTCTCCTCTCTTTAAAGTTTCACATAAAATGTGTTGCTTAGCCGTGTTAGCTTTAAAGATCTGGTTATATGTTACAAGATGTTGAATTTCACTGATGTTATTAAATTGTCACTTGATGGTTTTGGAAATCCATCCATCCATTATCTTCTGCTTGTTTCGAGGTCAGGTCGCAGAGACAACGGCTTAAGCATGGAGGCTCAGACATCTCTTTCCACAGCCACCTCTTCTAGTTCTTCTGGGGTGATCCCAAGGCATTCCCGGGCCAACCGAGAGACGTAATCTCTCCAGCGTGTCCTGGGTCTTCCTCGGGGTCTCCTCCCAGTCGGATATGCCCGAAGCACCTCCCTAGGGAGGCTCCCAGGCAGTATCCTTACCAGAACCCCGAACCACCTCAACTGGCTCCTTTCAATGTGGAGGAGCAGCGTTTCTACTTTGAGTCTGTCCCAGATAACTGAACTTCTCACCCTATCTCTAAGGGAGAGTCCAGCTACCCTGCGGAGGAAACTCATTTCAACCGCCTGTATGCATGATCTCATTGTTTCGGTCACTACCCAGAGCTCATGACCATAGGTGAGGGTAGGAATGTAGACTGACAGGTAAACGGAGAGCTTCGCCTTACAGCTCAGCTCCCCCGTTATCACAATGGACTAGCACAGAGTCTGCAATATTGCAGACGCTGCAGCAGTCCGTCTTTCAATCTCAAACTCCATTCTTTCCTCACTCATGAACAAAACCCAAAGATACTTGAACTTGTCCACTTCAGGCAAAACCTCACCTTCGACCTGAAAAGAGCAATCCACCCTTTTCCAACTGAGGACCTCTTCCAGTTTTGGAAATCAAGTTATGGAAAACTTTGCACATCACTGCCTTAGAAAGTAGGTCAACAACAGAGATCGGAAGTGGACTGTGGTCCCCCGAAGTGGTGCTCAATGGGCTGCCACTACTGGAAATTAGTTGGCAACTCAAAATTTAGAGAAAATAGTCAATATTTTTCTTGCAGCCTCCCTCAATTTTGGGTGTTTGTGACCAGCGAGCCTTGCAGCCAGTTTTGGAAAATCCCAGTCTATTTTTGGTATGCTCTGCTTTTAAGACTGCAATGTAGACCATGCATATTTTTTTCATTGCCCAACTTCTCCTACATCATACCTACCTTGGTAGCCACCCTTACATTTCTGATTAAATCCACTGGAGTACATTTTTAAATGAATATATGAAGACTTAGACCAGTTTTTATATGCATTTATTATCAGCAAGGTTTTTAGACCTGAACATTTGAGGCAGTACCCTCAAATGTTTGCTTTCATTGGAGAACTTTTGTGGAAGTGTTAAAACCCCACTCAAGCAGCCTAGGATTTATGAAAACTAAACTATACTGTAAAGAGTACAAGACACCTGCAACAACTTTGCAACTATTTTGAGAAAAGTTGCAATTGCAAGCCTTTGCAACTCACGTGAAAAAAATTGAGAGCCCTCACAAACTTCTCAAATCTTATCGAATTTGCTCACTAATCTCCAACAGGCATATCCGGGTCAGAAACCTTAAAAATATTTACCGTATTTACCGGTACTTTGGGTCTGCTTGACTTGTTGCTGTAGAATTGAAACTGGACGAAGCTCTGAAATTTAAATTAAAAGGTATAATTGGCATCAGCAATGGAAGGTTAAAGTAACAACAAGGCTAACAAATGATATGGGTATTTTTAGTCAAATATTGTTTCATATTTAAGTTTAAGAATTGATTATGATGATGATTATGATTAGAATGATTATGGGTAAAATAAAATTTTGATATTCAACTCCACCAACCTGTTTTTTAAGCTCTATAGACCTTCATCACAGAAACCAGAAACACAAAGTGGGCGTCGTAGTGTGTTTAACGTTCAGAACTCCAATCTAACAATTTTCCTAGCAGCTTACCGAAACGTTATTTTATAAACATGTACATCACCACCAGTTTCACGAGTTTTTAAACATTGTTTACAAAAAAGTGGTTTTCAAGCGCAAATAGCAAGAGCTAGCTGCAAGATTAGCGGTTAGCTAACTTGAATCCCGTCAGTCTTGATTTAATGGCTTCCCTCTGAATTTCATATTTTCTAAGGGAATCCACATTATTTATTCTATTTTTCTTTTGTATTTTACCTCACAACAATGTATCTGTCGTTTTGTGCGTTAATAAATGGGACAAATAATTTACTTTTATTCAGTGAAGAGTGAACTCCAAAACATTAATTCTTTCATAGATGCTTTTTAAAATTATTATTATTATTTACTCCCTTTTTCAGACGACCACAGCCTTGACCGACATGATCATAAGTGATGCAGTAATGGCTTCAAAAACCTGTTTTCACTTTGAACTATTAATTTTATTTTCAATTTATTAAAACAGAAGGTTTTAGAAAATAACTAAAGGAAAGTTAAAAAAAAAAAAAACATATAGACTTATTTAAGTTCATGCTCAATGATCCAGGTAAAAAATCCAATAAAGTTCATACAGGTCATCATGTTATATTTATTTTTGCGTTCACCAAAAAAACAAAAGAAGAAATAAACTGTCCAGATGACCTGACAGAACTTTGTTGGATATAGACTTTTAGTGGTGCTAAAAAAAAAAAAAAAATAGTTTGCCTTTTTGCCCGTCAAACAGACAAACTCCAGATGTTATGTCATCATGTACAGGAACATAACACTGAAGTTGAAGCCAAAACAGCGTTCAAGTAAATGAATGGGGTTTAAAAAAATGCAATTTCCTCACTTGTTCAGGTTTATTCATGCAACTCTGACATTGCTTTATCGTGTGAATGTTTATGAAGCGTTCACACTTACGTGATCCATTTTTCTTCCGTACGTTTTTCAGCGCAATTCTCGCCCCACGGTTTTTGTGCTATTTCAACAAATCATAAATCAAAACGTTCAGCTCTTTCAGGACAATCCTGCTTTGACTTTTGGTCTTGGTGCAACTTTAGCTTTTTGAAATATTTAGCCTTTTCTGCCACTTTTTTTCTCCATAGAAAATGAATTGAGCTCATTTTACATCCTTCAAATCTTTAGATGTGTCTACAACATTTTACTGCTCCTTTCACATTCTGTTCTGCTTCAGCTTCTTTGTGCAAATTTAAACATTTTTCAGCTGTTTTCATCTGTTTTGTGCTCCTTTTAGATTTTTTCTGCTAACTACAACATTTTTGTGTTTCTTCTAACTTCTTTATGCTAATTTCAGCTTGTTATGCATTTTTCAGCTTATTTATGCAAGTTTCAGCTACCATTTAGCTGTTTTTATGCTAATTTTAGCTTTTTCAGCTAATTCCACTTTTTTTTTTTTTTTTTACAATCTATGCTTAATTCAGCAAAAATGTGTTCTCTCCATTTCCTTCAGTTAATTTTAACTTCTTCCAGCTTTTTAGGTATTTTTCAGTTGTTTTTTGCTAATTTCAGCTTTTTTCAGATAATTTCCACTGTTTTGTGTAAATATCTGCTTCTGTCAACCTAATTGGGCAAACATGTTCTTTCTGCTTTCTTCTGTTAATTTAAGCTTGTTCTACCTTTTAAGCTACCTTGTTAGCATTTTTTTTTTAGCTAATTTCAGCTGCTTTCATATTCAAGTTTTTCATGGAAATTTCTGCTACTTTCAGCCTAATTTACTTCTTTCTGCTCATTTCAGCTTATGTTCTTTTCAGCTGATTTCTGCCATTTCAGCTACTATTTAGCAGTTTTTTATGCAAAATTTAGCTTTTTCAGCTAATTCCACATTTTTAGCTTATTTCAGCTCTCTTCACTTTCTTCTGGCAGGTTAAGCTTCTTTTTGCCTTTTCAGCTGTTTTCTGCTCATTTTAGCTTTTTTTTAAAGATGATTTCTTAATTTTTTTGTGATCATTTCAGCTTATTTAAACTTAACTCAGTAAATGTTTTTTCTGCTTTCTTCTGCTAATTTGAGCTTGTTCTTTTATTTCAGCTACATTTCAGCATGTTTTTTTTAACTAATTGCAGCTGTTTTTCATCAAGTTCTTATGCAATAAGCATTCACATTGCGTTTTTACAGGAAATGCAATTTTTCTAGTTTATTTGTCTTTATCAATGTATTTTAACATAACTTTTAGAATATTCAGTACATTTATGCACTTTTTACTAAATGTACCTTTAATTGAGGGCTAAAAAAATTCAACTATAGAAGGTACACAATCAAAATTGCGTCATCAATGGTTACTAATTAATTTAGTGTTATTTGAAATATTTGAACAGTGTTAATCTACGTCTTTCTTCATATTAATAATACACGTGGAACAAACGGATGACACTCGGAGAACGCCCTGATGCATGCTCAGAGAATCTTCCCTTTTTGTTGCAGACCCAGCTCCTGGCCGGCGGTACACTCCCCCCTCCACCTCACTCGCCACGGGAGGGAAAATGGCCGAGGCACTGCCTCTTGGAGCGCAGGAGCCGGGCGGAGGGGGCGCTCTGATGGGCAAACTGCGCATCGCCGACCATGGCATGGCAGAGGTACGACGACACACCGTCCAATGACAAGTGTGCTTTGAATTCACGTATGTGATTGTGATGCTGTGTCGTCAGGTGATCTCAGATCATCCAGGGGAGTTGGTGAAGACCGACAGTCCGAACTTTCTCTGCTCGTTGCTCCCCACCCACTGGAGGTGTAACAAGACGCTGCCCATTGCTTTTAAGGTGCGTAAGGTGGTTTGAAAGAAATTAATTTACCTCTTTTTCTTTAATTATTTTATTTATTTCAAATACTGTGCATGTTTAAAATTCCACTTTGGTTCAGTTCTGAACAAATTAATCCATTTGCTTTAAAAGATTTGATTGTTTTATAAAAATATTAAAGACTACTTTCACCTCGACCAAAAATAATCATTCTGTGTAGTTGAACTACATTTTTATGACAGTACCTGAACTACACAGTAGTCCCTTGATTATCACGGGGGTTACGTTCCATACACCACCGCGATAGGTGAAAAACCACAAAGTAGTAACGCTATATTTACTGTATATATATTTTAAGGCTTTATAAACTGTTCCCACACTCTTTACAATGTTCTAAACTCTTAAACCTATGTAATTTTAACAACATACTATATGTACTGTACAGTACTGCAAAATTTTACTCACCAGCTCTGCAGACCAGCAGCTCGGTTCCGGTTCGACAGACCTACCCTGCAGCGACGAAGCCCACCGCCCCATCCAGGTTGATGTGCACGTGGATAATTGGGTTTCAGGATTATTTGCCACTTTCCTGCCACTTTTGTGAGCTTAATAGATTGATTGTTACTTCTGACTTTGCGTGGCAAAACTATCCATCCATTTTGTCAGAACAGTGGCCAGAAGCACTGTTGGCTTCTGGGTAGTGTAGTTCTTTTGACGTGCGTTACAGTATAGGCTTACTGAAAGAAAACTGCAAAATGGCAGCGCCATCTGTCTGAAGTTTTTTCCCCGTTAACTTTTTATCTCCTACAGTCCCAATCACGTAATATTAAAGTTGGCAACAGTGTGTCATGTATAATCTTACGTTTAAAAACCGCAAAAGAATGAGTCCATGAAAGTCGAACCACGAAGTAGCGAGGGACTACTCTATATATTTTTAGAATAGATCAATTTAATACATATTGTTTCAAAGGAATAAAAATCAGTATAAAGTTCAAGTTTGACAGCTTGTTCTTTCTAGGATTGATTTTTCTACATCTATCTGGAAATTTCGGCCCCATTCACAATACTCCAGATGTTTTCAAAAACTGAGATTTTGGGAAATTTAAAACACTTTTATCAAAAGGTGATGTACTCATGCTAATGAGTACTTTGTGCTCGACTAACCAAAACAACAATGAAGCTGTTCTTAACTTTTTTTTCTACTTTTGTCCTACTTTATTCCGTTAAACTTGGATTGTGGGTTAAAATGTTACACATCTGAAATGTAAAAATGTAAAAAGTTTCAACCATCGGCGTCAGAAGCATTTATAATGTGGGAGGGACACATTGGTGGAGTTGGGGGGGGGGGGGGGTGGGGGTCCTCCCCCTGATGGCATGTCCCCTTCACAAATCATTGTTGTGACGCCTATTTCAGCGATAAAAATATTTTGAGACTTTTTTTTTTGCCAAACTAGGAAGATTCTTTATCTGGATTTTAATGTAATTAATATGAACATTCTCGCCACCTAGTGGCTTGGCATGGGTATTTCAGCTTTTTTTTTTTTTGGAAATGTTTGGATCAAAATTTATATATTTTTGAAAAGAAGAAGAAAAACGTCATTAGGACGAAGTCCAAATGTATTAATCTCAAGGAACTCAGAACTATTAACTTTGCCATCTTTTTTTTTTTCAACAAAAATGACCAAAAGCCTTATAATAAAATTTTTTATTTTCTCATCAGATACTTATTTTAGCCATTATTTAGAGGTATTTCACAGTATTCCCTTAAACGACTATCTATAAAATATCTGTAATGTATACATTTTTATTGCAGGCATATACATCTATGTTTTCAAAGATTATAAACTGCTTTTCTCCAACAAAATGATATAACTCGATTCACTCATTTGCAGCATTTTTAAAAGGCATAGCTCGATGATTCATGTGTTTCCTTTGAATTCCCTCATGAACGCATTTGTTTGGATGTGGACGGCTTTCCTGTTCTTTTAGGCAAAATGCATTTGTGGAAAAGCAGCACTAAGCTGCAGAGAACACACACGCAGCAGATTGATTTATTGAATTTTATGCATTAGCGTTTCCACATGCATGTCTGTGTTAGTGAGTTTGGTGCATAATGCATCATTATGGAGTGTCGTGAGCGGATGTCACTACCCCTCACAGATAATGCTCACATAAATGAGTGTTTCATCCACACATAATGTGCATATTTATATGCAGGAAATAATGCATTATAGGTACACACACAGGGAATTATGTCAAATGTAACCATGCAAGCTTGTTATGTATAATTACACTCACAATGGCTTTAAGCTGAGATGAACAAAATTGTGGTGTTTCTACTTTATATTTAATTATTTGGTCATTGGGGCAAAAGTACACCCTGTTTCAATTTTAGGGTTTTGTATATTAGGACAATAAAACCTATCTGATCGTTACTAGGTCGTAAAATTATTTACACACAACTAAACACACAACTGAAACAACATCATCATTATGAACAAAGTCCAAAGAGAAATGCTGTTGTGAAAGTATTTTTGCTGCTTCTATAGGATTTAAGAGAGAAAGTATAAGCCAGGTGTTGCTGATCAAATGTACTGATTAAATGATTCATTCAAGTCAGTTGCCAATCTTCCCCGAAGTGGCCGTCCCATTGAATTCACCATGCAATGCTCAGAGAGAATCGACCCCAAATCTCCATGTTAGACTCTACAGGCCTCAGTTAGTGGGTGAAAGGTCACAGGTCATTGCAGGACAGTTAGAAAAAGACTGAACAAGTATGGCTTGTTTAAAAGGGTGCCAGAAGAAAAGCTCTCTAGAGCAGTGGTTCGAACCCTGCTCCTTGAGGAACACCATCCTGCATGTTTTAGTTGTTTCTCTGCTCCAACACACCTGATTCAATGGTTTAATGACTTTGAGTTCTGCAGAAGCCTGTTAAACACTCCTTCATTCAAATCAGGTGTGTTGGAGCATAGGAACAACTAAAACATTCAGGATGGTGTTCCTCAGGGACCAGGGTTGGGAACCACTGCAGTCTGAGCATGGCAGCACAACTTAGATTAGTAAAGTTTCTTCTGAATGAACGACAAGACTTCTGGAACAATGTTCTTTGGACAGATGAGACCAAAGTAGCGACGTTTACGCCTAACACACAGTCACAAGTATGTAAAAAAAAAAAAACGGAGCATACCGATCGTGAAATACGTCGGCAGAGGACTGATGGTTTGGTCTTCTCGTAGCCATTGATTCAACTCTGTAGATCAAAGGATTCTATGGGGCCATCTTTCTGTCAGCTGAAGCTTGGATCAAACTGTCATGATGCATCAGAACAACGACCCAAAACACAGCAGCTAATCTACAACAGATTGGCTCAAATAGAATCAAAGGGTTGCAATGGTCAAGTCATAGTCCAGACCTCAACCTGATTGAAATGTTGTGGTGGAACTATCAGAGAGCTGTGCAGAAACAAGTGACTGCAAACATCAATGAGCTGAAGCAACACTGTAAAAGAGTGAGCGAAAATTATTTCCCCAATTATGTGCTTGACCATTGAATCAGTATCAGAATAAACTTTATTATCATTGTACCGAGATACAGAGAGAATATGTCCGTACAGTCGACCGAAAGATGGGCAGAGTGCACGCAGCTGCTGCTATGATAGTGCGGCCTCTTATACTTTTCTGAATACATTTTAGATAGAAAAGTGGACAGGACCCTGTTGTTTTGTTGAAAAGATTTTGTCGATTGCGTCGAAAGTCCAGTTGGTCAGATCCATAACAGTAGTTTTCATTTCGGAAGATATGTAAATTAGGAGCTCCGATATACAGGGAGCAAAAAAGCAGGAGGAGAACAGGAGTGGGAAGAAAATGTGTCCGCCTCGTATCAGAGCAAGTGAGGAAAAAAAAAAGAAGTCCTACATAAAAGAACTACCAAGTTCTTGCTGCTGAAAGGGGTTCTACAAGCTGTTGATCTGGGACTGGATGCAGTTTTTCAACAGTTTTTCTATTTAGATTTGTCTGTTTGTTCATTTGAGGTTAGGTTTTAATAACTTTAGAACATGATGAAAACTAGATCTTTTTATTTTGCCCTGTTACATAAAAAAATTAGATTTGAAAAGGGGGGGATTTTATTTTTACATGATCTGTTGTCAGTTTCTTTCTCGAATTCCCGGTTTCAGTGTTTTGTGTTTTTTTTTGTCTTTCCAGGTTAGAATTTTACATCCAATAAGTTAATGGTACTTTACTGTAGTAGCTCAGATCTGTGTGGCATTCTGTGGATTTTGAAGCATCAACGTGCCCTTGATCTTTTGACTTGTACTAAAATGAAGGTTTACCTCAAAGGTTGATCCAGTCTTTATGGGTTGCAGTTGTTTGCTTAGAGTTCAAGGTTAAGAGAGAACCCATCCATAGTACTGTATCTGCTGAGGACATTTGCACACAGATAGCTTGGGCAGATTATCGTTATTATGGAAATCAGCTTCTATGGCTCTATAAATCAGTCGGCGTGGAAAAGAAGAAAGTGCTGCCTGATGCACTGAATGCTGTGTGGCGTTCCTTTGGTGTCCCGAGGATGCATTTTCAACTAAACTATTTCAAGAAAAGTTATTTCGTTATTTCTTAAAACGGACTCTGTGTCCTACAGAACGTCAGTTGGATCTAGCAAATACTTGTCTTCTTTTTTCTCCTTTCGGCTGCTCCCTTCCTCAAGGTTCACCCTAGCACGAAGACTTGGCAATTGTTTTTACGCCGGATGCCCCTCCTGACACAACCACAGACCACCGAGCTACCACAGCCATCTGTGTGGAGCTGCTATCTAGGACACCTGGGGAGCAGATGATGGGGGTTAAGGGCCTTGCTCAAGGGCCCAGAGTGGGGCAAATGAGGGTAGAGGCAGGTGTGGGTGTTTCGTCGTTCCAAGGTCAAGGTGCTTTATTGTTATTCGCATCACATGTGAGTGACTTTCCATGAGGTGGAACGAAATTGTGTACACAGGGTTCCAGTTATACCAACAATAGCAAAAATATAAAGTGTAAAAAGAAACAGTAAATAAGGATCTACGATATACCGCAAAAAATCCCACCCACATTTTGATGTTGTCGGTACCGGGAGTCAAACCGGCGACCTTCCAATCACAGGCCCACATTCTCTAACCTCTGCACCACCATTCCCCTGTTAGTGTCAATACCAGTACCATTTATTAATGCCTGGATGAATATGTGATTTAGAAAAAGTATAATAATAATAATAGGTTTACTATCAAATGCAAGTTTTGAAATATCAGGCACTCCATTATATCTATTGAATTGTTGTATAATAGTTCCCCATAAAGATAAAATGAAAACAGATTTAACCCCCCCCCACACACACACACACACACACACACAAAAATCAATCTTTTTGAAAAAAGCAACCCTCACATATGACGTTTATATACTGTACAGGTACGTCTCAAAAAAATCAGAATATTGTGAAAAAGTTCCAGTTTTTTGTCAGTCATTTCAGAAAGTGAAACTCTTGTATTAAATGGGTCCGATACACAGAGTGAAATATTTCAAGCCTTTATTTCTTGTAATTTTGATGATTATGCCTTTATAAATAATGAAAAAACTCAAAGTCAGTCTCAGAAAATTAGAATATTCCACAGCCAACTTTTGGTACCTTTGCCAGTGATGTTATTGTTATTTTAAGCCGTAATCATCAAAATTACAAGAAGTAAAGGCTTGAAATATTTCACTATGTGTAATTGAATCTATATAATTCATGTTCTGAAATGGTTGACCAAAAAATTGAACTTTTTCCACAATATCTTAACTTTTTGGAATGTACCTGTAAGTATTCAGACCCTTTCCTTAATACTGACTTAAAGCACCGTTGGCAGCAGTTCTAGCTTCAAGTCTTTGTGGATTTGATGCAATAAAACCTGGATTGTGGTATTTTCTGCCATTCTTCACAAATCCTCTAAAGCTCAGTTCAATTCTTTGGGGACCAATGGAGGAGCCCTTCTTTAAGTCTGGCTGGTGCTCACAAAGACAATCACAGATTGTGTTAACCTCTGGTCCAGTCTGAGGTCCTGATCTCCATAAAACACTCCTACAGCATGATTCTTGGGACTGATGGGGGGCCGAGATGGGGTAGAGGCAGGGCAGCCAACCTGGGACCCAAAAGTCCCAGGTTCAATCCCCAGTCATTGCGCATCTCGTGGTGTCTCTGAGCAGGACACCCCATCTCCAATTGCTCCCCGGGCACCTTATGTAACTGTCCGCTGCTCCACCTGTGGGTGGATGGGTTAAATGCAGAGAGCCAATTTCGCCATTGTATGGGAGCATACAATGATGACAACACATACACATTATTATTATTATTCTGCTACCATCGTGCTTCACTGTGAGGACGGTGTTGGCTAGGTGATGAGCGGCGCTTGGTTTCCTCGCGATAGTTTAGATTTTAAAGCAAATACTTCAATCTTGGTTTCATCAGACTTGTTCTTTGACCTCATGGTTGGGTTTTGGTCTATGTAGCAAGGGATCCCATTATGGTGAGGTGTCTTTGCAAATCATGTCTAGTTCACTTAACTGACCACCAGTGGACTCCAGTCAAAGTGTAGAAGCATCTCAGCGGTGGTCTAGAAAAATGGAAGGAGTTAAATTTCTTGTGTTGTTCAAACAAAATTGTATTTTTCTTGTGTACGTTCCTAGGTGGTAGCCCTCGGCGACATCCCTGATGGCACCTTGGTTACAGTGATGGCTGGAAATGATGAGAATTACTCGGCAGAGCTTCGGAACGCCACGGCCGCCATCAAGAACCAAGTGGCCAGATTCAACGACCTGCGCTTTGTGGGACGCAGTGGAAGAGGTACGCCAAGACGTGGATGAAACCAAACTCTATTAAAGTTTAAAGATGCACCAATGACTAGTTATACTTTAGCTCAGTGGTTCATACACAGCTTCATTTTTCAGTTTAATTTGGTTCCTGGATATCATTCTAAAACCTCCTAGTAGGCGCTTCGAACAATTCTGTAACGGACACACGTAATTAGTTGTGGCGTTGCAACCTCACACTGCTTGAAATATAGTAGATGTGTTTTGCACAAGTGATAGAGTGGCTAAATTAGGGGAAGTACAAGTGGGAAAAAAAGACATCATTCATTCAACTTCCTCCTAAAAATTTATTTGGCGTCTACCTCATTCCACCCGACACGTTTCAACCCCCCTCCTCTCTGTGTTTAACGGACACACTAGACCACAGTTACTCTAAATCAGTCATAGGCAAATGTCCCAACTTATCTATTTAAAACACCAGTCCTGTATACACAAACTGCACCAACATTTACACATTTACAAATGCACGTACACTTGATAACAACTCCTCAGTCTGAAGAAAACAGAAGAATAACTGTGTTTTGATTTTATAGACTGCGCTGTCGTATTGGAAAAAATTAAAGTAATGCAACGAGTACAAGAGTAAAAGCTTGTTTAAATGCAAACTTAACTGTAGCGAATACAAAAGTAGTTCCTTTTCCCAGCATTACTTGTCCTCTGCAGTGTTTTAATACATTGAGGCTAAAAGTATTGTAAAGGAACAATAATATTCATGCCACTGGTTGCTAGAATAAAATATTTTACAAGATTCAACCAAGTTAAGTCAGGTCATCTGGACCTTTTTTTTTTTTATAAATGATTCGTCCTTCATTTTTTCATTCAACCTTTATTTATAAGGTTAATCCCATTGAGCCTCATTTACAAGAGAGACCTGAATTTTAACAAAGGACTCATTCAAAGGATTCATCCAAAGGACTTCTTCAGTCCGAAGAGCCACAACAAACTCCGTCCCACAAGCAGCACACTCGCATAGTGGGCTAACCAGTTTGATGGTGATAAAATGGTTCCTGGAGTCCGCCCTCTCCCCCGTCAAAAGATCCGTCTGATATTTTACTTGGATTATTGAGCATGAACTTTGATGTTTTGAACCACTTTGGCCATGGCTGCCTCAGAGGAGTCGACGGGGGAGATGGCGGGCCCCAGAAACCATCTCATCACCTTCAAACTGGTTGACCCACTATGCGAGTGTGCTGCTTGTGGGACAGAGTTTGTTGTGGCTCCTCAGACTGATGAAGTCCTTTGGATGAATGACAAAACATTTCAAACTGTCCAGAGGACTCGACTTAACTTTGTTGGATTTTTTTACTTGGATTATTGAGCATGAACTTTGATCTTTTACAAAACTAGAAATCATATTTTAGTTAAGGGGCGTAAAGTCAAATTTTCTGTGACCCATTTAAACATTGAATGATGTTTCTCCAGTGAAGTATGTCTGAGCAGCAGAACGCCAATGAGGGCTAAATTTTCTCATTTGTTGTCAATGGTAAACATTTTTCCTTGTAAATTTCCTTTCCACTGGACGTAAAATGTCCTGCTACCAAAAAGCATAGAACCCTATTCCAATCAAGCCGTTCATTTTGATGCGATTGCCATTTCTTCTAGTTTCTCCACCTAAGACATCTTTACTGATCATTGTGAGAGAAGTGCTTTTAGCTGGTAATGCTAATGGACGGTGTTATTGCTTGGCTATTGTGTTTCTCTCCTTGTGTGTGGGTGGATGTTTGTGTCAAAGTGTTCCAGTTATTAATTAGGCAGTGTTTCCAATTGGAGGACAAGCACTTGGTTTCAACACACATACACCAGTTTGTCTTTCTGTCTTTACAGGGACTTTGCATTGACTTCCATTAATTGTTCATTAATTTCTATAGCCTAACTCTGACCCTTACCCTAAACCTAACCATTACCAGTACCAGTACATACCTAAGCCTATCCGCTATACTTTGGTTTCTAAGCACAGTTTACCCACTACAAAAATGTAGACTACACCACTGGTTGAACCCAGAGCGCAGACAGAATTCGGGAACTCGAGGATTACAAAAACTATATCTATTAAACACAACAAAAAGGGCCGACATGGCAGCAAAACTTACATAAGGGGAGGTGATCACGGGAGGAACAGGAACAGACCATGACGCCAAGAAGCATCATCCATGGACAATGGGGGAAGGACAAGACACCGAATAAATAGGAACACCCACGGTTGACAATGAGGACCACCTTGTGTGATTAGGGCTGAGGACGGGTGTGTTGAAGTGGAAAAGACAAGCAACCTACACCAATCCTGACAGTTATTTTCATTATTTCGTTTTATTCATCTCACAACAGTTTCATTTTTGTTTAGTAGTTTTCATTATAAAATTAAATTATTTCCAGATCAATTATTCTGAGGATCATTATGATTAAACAACTACCGTATTTTTCAATCAATCAATCAATCAGTCACCTTTATTTTACCAGGTAGAGCCCGTTGAGATCGAGATCTCTTTCACAAGGGTGACCTGGTCAAGTGGTCATCAGCACACGTCACAGGGTAATTGACAATAAGCATTTACATTTATCAAAAGAAAAAGAATCTACTATCACGATAAATAAATGTTAACTGTTTGAAACCATCAGGATAAGACAGACTTCTGTAGACATTAAATGTAGAACAGACATCAGGTTAAGTAGACAGAGTTAAAAGTGAACAAAGACATGTATATTTGATAAGTAGTGTTTTAGAAACATCTGCAATGGTCCATATTTTTGATAACATTATCTGACACGGTTGACATGAAGGATCTAGCTTGAATGCTCTTTTTCCTAGTTCAGTTCTGACCAGAGGAACTGACAGGAGGACTAAGACATTAGAGCGCAGGGAGTAATGATTGTGTGATGTTTGTATTAGGGAGGTAAGGTATGATGGGACTAGGTTTAGAAGGGTCTTATAGATGAAGGATATCCAGTGAGTGTATCTGCGAGCGCTGAGAGAAGACCAGCTAGACTTGACGTAAAGTTCACAGTGATGAGTGCGATAATTGGAATCAGTAATGAATCGAAGGGCACCATGATAAACTGAGTCTAAGGACTGTAGGTATTTTGATGCAGCACTCATGTACAGCACGTCACCATAATCTAATATCGGCATGAAAGTTGCAGCTACTAATGTTCTCCTGGCTTTACATGAGAAGCAGGATTTATTTCTGAAGTAGAAGCCTAGCTTCAATTTGAGTTTAGTGACCATTTTGGAGATGTGGATTTTAAATGACAGTTTACTGTCAATGTTGAAACCTAGATATTTGTAGGTGGAGACCATTTCTATTTGTTTTCCCTCTTGGGTTTCAATTTGAGGTGGGTTCTCTGGTTGCTGCTTTCTGTTGGATAAAACCATGATCTTGCTTTTGTCAGCATTTAGGACCAGTCTAAGTTTTTGCAGACGTGACTGGATAATATTAAAAGCGTCTTGAAGAGAGGTGAAGGCTTGGCTGAGGGAGGATGAACAGCAATAAATGATGGTGTCATCTGCATAATAATGGTGGGAGGCGTTTGACAGATCACTGCATAGATCGTTGATATATAAGGAGAAAAGAATGGGACCCAAGACAGAACCCTGTGGCACCCCTTTCACAACATCTAGGAACGTAGAGGAGGATCCGGCTACATGGACAGACTGTGTTCTGTCAGTTAGATAGTTGGTGAACCAGAAGACTGCTAGTTTTGATAGACCAGAGTGTTTCAGGATGTTAGTCAATAGTCTGATCAACTGTATCAAATGCCTCGGATAGGTCTATAAATAGGGCAACACAGTATTGTTTGCAGTCCAGGGCATGTATGATGTCATTTAATACTTTGAGAACTGTAGCTACGGTACTGTGCTGTTTTCTGAATCCTGACTGGAATTGTGATAAAATATTATTTGATTGTAGAAAAACAGTTAGCTGATCACAGACAAGTCTTTCGAACAGTTTAGCAAGATAAGCCGATAAGTCACAGTTTTTGCATAATTTGCATGGCCTGCGACTTATATGCCGAAGCAACTTATTTATGGATTTTTCCCACATATTTATAAACCAATTTTTGGCTGAGATATGACCATTTTCATTCATTCTACTTGAAAATATTGAACAGTACTATTTTTAGCCGCTAGATGGCACTTGAGTAGTATGGCATAACATTGTGTCATGTAATAGGTATGTGGCTATTAATGATGCAATCGGCTTGCCATAGCCTGCTACCTTTGTCAAGCTCGCCTGGAGAAAACGTAAAGTCAGCTGCATTTTGCTGTGCCGCCCCGGTGAAATACAGCTGATTTGACCGTCAAAATGCATTTATTAAGCACCAGTTAGACTGAGACACACCTTTGCTATAATTTTAAGCAAACAAATAATTGTTTTTAAGTGTTAATCTTGTTAAATTATTGTTAAAAGTCCTTCCGTGCACACTCCCGTGGCCACCATTTGGCAGCCAATTGATTTTTGGCACAACACCGGCCCACATTTCCAGGTCATCAACTGTGATGCGTAACAAACGCAACGCGTCAGCGGTGATGCAACATATTTATGGATTTTTCCAATTTATTAGACATATTTGCACTGATGCGACTTATAAGGTGGTGCGACGTGTATGGCGGAAAATACAGTACATGTTGAAAATGTATCTTCGCTTGGTAACAAGAAAGACGACCTTGGTTTAACCATTGAACAACTTCAGTCCAGTACATGCACCTTGTGTACAATTGGTTAAGTTTGCTTTGATCATTCCCTGAGCTGTAAATCTAATTCTATCCAACAGCATTATTAAAATATTACAATTTTCTTGATATAGTTACTGTCTCCTTTTGCCAGGGAGAGAAATCTGACTGTCCATGAATGCATCACTGATAACGTGAACTATAGCATGAAGACATACTGCAGGATATTTGTTGATATGCATATCTGGCGGTTTTTACTTAGTATTCTGTTGGATTTGTAAAAATCCTAAAGGTATCAATGGACAGATAAAACATACAAACGTATCAAACATGTTTGCGAAGCCGTTGCTCCACACAGGGCTTGTGTTCATGCAGTTTGGCATGGTATTGTCTCAACAGCTAAAAAGCAGAAATTAAAGTTGTTACAACGCGGCAACACAACTGCTATTTGTTTCTTTTTATGAGTCAGGTAGTTAGTGCAGCTTGGGCTTTTATCTTTGTGTCCATGCACGCACAGATGCAACTCGTTTTCATGTTCCCACTCAGTTCCTCTTTTAAACAGGACTGGCATTTTTCTCTTAAAATATATGATCGCAAAGTGTGCGCACACACCCACACACACATTATTAGGACGTTGTATTGACTTCCAGTAATTTCTGTGGTTTAAACTATAACCAGTACATACCTAACCATAACCTAAGCTCATTTCATACCATAGACCTAACCCCCAACTCAAAAATTACCCTCTACCTTGTTAGGACCGGGCTTTGGTCTATGGACTATTGGTCTAAATCAATGGTTCCCAACCCTGGTCCTTGAGGAACACCATCCTGCATGTTTTAGTTGCTTCCCTGCTATGACGCAACTTATTTGAACGAATGGGTGATAAACAGGCTTCTGCAGAGCTTGATGAAGTAATTAAATCATTGAATCAGGTGTGTTGGAGCAGGGAAGCAACTAAAACATGCAGGATGGTGTTCCTCAGGGATCAGGTTGGGGAACCACTTCAGTCATTCATTCAATCTTTATTTATAACAGGTTAGTCTCACTGAGTCACGAGGACTGATTTACAAGAGAGACCTGTTTAAAACAAAGAACACAGATGAATTAGACAGTCATATAAAAGCATATTAAAATGAAAAGTGATAGAAAAATGAAACAAAAACAGCTACATTATAAAGCAGTGTAAAATACTAAAAACAGGAACATGTCTGCGTTGGTTTTTGCATTGATTATACCAGAAAAGGTCCTAAAATGTAACAAAAATCAGGTACGCACACACTAGCATCCTCCTTTTTCTATTTCCAGTGAGTCGTTGACGAAAGTCGAGCAAAACTATGTTTTCAGTAGATTTCTTTGCGATTTGGTTATTTAGTTTATTTATGTGTGTTACTGTGTGTTGGGTCGTGGTTGAGAAATGTGTGAGATGCAGCAGACTTCATCAGGTCAAATCTACAACTAAAATACACTCCATGTTTTTACATATTACCAGTAAATACAGTATCGTGTAATGGATGTAATGCTATTCTTGTAATAAGATCATAAGCTGATCATAGAAAAACTTTCTAAAGTAACTGTTCGCATGTTGTGTTTTAAGCGACTAAGTAGCAAACACGTAGGCTTGAATGTCTAATCTTTTTTTCAGTAGCAATAAATGAAATCTCATGGCAACAAATAAAGTCATAAGAGACTTGGTGTAATTTTGACACCTTTTTAATCAATTTTGCACTAAAATAGGAAAATTTGGTTGATTATTTCTTTGTTGTAACAATGCCTCTTGGCAATGAATCTTTTAACGTTGGAAAGACGGATCATTTCCACTTTTACGTTTGATGAGAAAGATGCATTTGTTGTTTGCGCAGCAGAGTTGAGTATGTGAGTTCCACCCATGGAAAATGCACCAAATCTTCTCTGCTTGGCTTATTCTGCTATTGACTCTTGTTTAATGTTGTTTTTTTTAATTGGATGATTGAAGTCTTAACAATCAAGACATATTGGCAATTTTACCGTTTATTTATTTAACAATCGTGGGCCTCAGTAGAATGTGGAAGAACCATACACAGCCACAACAACCTGGTGTCTCCTCCAAATGATGCACACTAGCTTGGTCACACACTGCTGTGGGATGGAATCCCATTCTTCTATCAGCACTTGTTGTAATTTAACCAGTATGGTTGAGTTGGTCAGTTTGTAGCAAACACCATGCCCAAGCTGATCCCAGAGATGTTCAGTAGGGTTGAGATCTAACATCTACAAATAAAACTGAGTGAATTATTTTCTCTTCTTTTGTCTTTTTTCTCTCAACTTTACCTTTTTCTATTCTGTCTACTTGTGGTTTTCCTCTTCTGTTTCTTATAGGAAAGAGTTTCTCGCTGACAATCACAGTATTCACCAACCCCACCCAGGTGGCTACGTATCAGAGGGCTATTAAAATTACAGTTGATGGTCCCAGAGAGCCACGACGTGAGTAACTCTTGACATAGACATGTCCACGCTCTACACAGCAATGTATACTCTCACACAGTTCAACTACCAGGTACATGTCCACTTTTAGTTTCCAGTGAGATTATTTATTAAAAACAGTTGAAAACCTATAGTTTCAGTCAGATTTTATATTTTAAGGAGAGTCCTGGGACTTTTTTTTTTCAGACCAATACAAGTACTGTACGTCAGTGTGAGTACTTGCAGATACTGAGTAGCAAAACAGAGTAGTTAATGAGTTAGTACTTGAACAATACACGACTTGAGAAACAAATTCTTTAATTAGGAACATAGAACCCAGTTTTTAATCTTAATCTGGTTTTTCTATCTTAAAATAGGTCCAAACTGCAACTTTTTTTTTTGTTTTTGCCCTAAGTTACTTGCAACGTGAAAAAGAAATATCATTAACCATATACACGAGTATTTAAGGCTGGTAGAGTTTGATACCAGTATCAGTATCGGGATGCCTCTAGTTCAAGTATATATTGCGAATTAAATAATGTCGAAACATCCTGCACAAGAAAATAAAACCAAATTACAAAAAGCTGCATTAAAATCAAATCACTTTTTTTGTGTGGTCATGTTTTAAAGGCTCCTCTACTCAAGGCGGCACATGTATAAGCCCGTCTGAAGTTTTCCAGGAAACATAGATGTGTAGTAAATGAGGTCTTGCAAGATACAAGATTTTTATCCACTGGGGAGGCCCCTCAGTGAACCCAACGTGCTTCTTCTTTAGCCTCTGTTTTGTTGCCTTGGTATGTTTTGGGTCGATAAAAGACCCCTGACCCATCTTCAGTGAGGGAAGAGTGTTCTTGTTCAACAAAACAACTTCAGTGGTGAAGTTGTCCTGAGTTTCTCTGAATTATTTAGATGTTCACTGGCCAACTTAAAATGGACATGTACATAGGCCTTCTTAAGCAGGGGTAATGCCCAGTTGCATTGTATTGCGTTACCAGTAGTATACTTGGTGACTGTGGTCTCAAATGCCTTCAGACTGGCTTCAAGAGCTCCTTCTTCCAAAGTTGGCTACTTTGTCACTTTTCGAAAGATCGTCCTCACCTCATGAGTCATGGTCTTACATGGAGCTCCATACAGTTGGTGATTGATGATCATTTGATATTTTTTCCAATTCTGAATAACCACACGTTCTTAACCGTCAGCATAGAACTTGTTGCAACACAGAGCTTCTTTCCTGCTTTACGTGGTGAAACACTGGAATTGCTTGGTTTTCCTGGCGTAACAAATCGTACGAATCAGCTGTTTATGTTAAAATAAAACATTGATCAGAAGATACAGGCAAGACAAAGGGTACGGAGAAGGCACAGCTATGTTCTACACATACAAGATAAATATGCAAAAACACTTCTATTGAGAGGAAGAGACTGTAACTGAAGCTCAGTTTGAGGGCTCTGAAGTGCTGCCAACACTCACCGTCTCCAAGACTCAAACACCAAAATTTTATGTTCCTGTGGTACCTGTTGGCCAAATTCCTCAACGTAAATGAAGATACGGTCCATTAACAATCCAATTCATTTCAGTTTATTTATATAGTGTCAAGTCACAACAGAAGTTATCTCAGTTGCACAAAAACATTCACATACATAAAAAAATCAATTGGTAACGTTATTTATCTAAGGAAGCCAGCAGATACACAGACACACATACATCAGACAAGCACCTACACTGTTTCAGTCTAAGACAAATGGTCACCAAGTGTCCCCAAATCTCCCAACAGATCCCCTAATAGTGTATCTAATCTTTTTCAAATGAATGTGACACAACTTCTTTTATCCAGTAGGCCTGTCACGATAGTAAATTTTGCTGGGCAATTAATTGTCTCAAAAATTATTGCGATAAACAATAATATTGTTTGAAATTTGACAATAATTATAGTCAAATATTGTGTTTTGTTTAACATAGTGTTTGTAACATTTACGAAACATTTCATAAATTACTGAACAGATTTAATGAAACTTTAGAAAATTGGGGTCGACATCTACAACGGATAAACTTTTTAGAATCAATAATTTGTAATTATTGTCAAATTCAAGAAGAAATGGTTGTTAATTTGTTTTGCGTGTAGTACCGTTTTTGTCCACCGGATGGCAGTATAAGACTGTTCAAACCGAAGGATGGATAGTGAGGGAGCGAGCAGCGTGTCTCTAAGAAAAATGGGACGGAGGCCCCTTGACGTGACATGGGCTGTTTCTCCTTCCCTTTTTTCTGTTCTCAAAATGGCGGACGCTCTGTGTGGTTTGAGCTCTTTAGCATAGCATTTATCACACAAAGCTTTTAATTAAAAAAAATATATATCAGTAAACAAGTTCTTAGCTGTTTTGCAGAGAAAAACAACTTTTTAGACGAAGGCACAGGTTTCAACTGTGAATTTTGGAGGTTCAACAAAACGGAGGTGCCCCCCCCCCCCCCCCCCCGAGGTCGGTCTGTTAGCTAAGCTCGTAGCTTAGCTTCTCAGCTTAGCTGCTTTTAATGATCCAAAAACTGATTTTAAAGAGAAAGGGAGGAGCACCGGAGTTGAGCCTTTTGCCATCCAATGTCTTCAGTAGAAAGAGAGAGATGAAGAAACAATAAAGCCGATGAATGAAAATGAGGTTGATAATTTTCATTTATCGCGACAGGCCTATTATCCAGTGTTCATATGCCGGGGGTTACGGATCCTTCCATCTGAATAAAATAATGCAATGTTGAGACAGTAGACTCTTATAGCCCGGGCTACATCACAACTGTGGGAATGATGTAAAGTATATTCTTTCCATTGAATCTTCATCCCGTCTTTATGCTAGGTCATCGTCAGAAACTGGATGAGGTCAAAGCTGGCTCTTTGGCGTTCTCCGAGAGGCTAACGGAGCTGGAACAGCTAAGACGGAGCTCCATTAGAGTGACCCCTCCTCACCATCATCATCACCATCATCATCAACCCTCAGCAAACAGCCGCCAGTCTGCAGTTCTCAACTCTGCCTCATTCTCCAGCCCTCAACACTCTCAAATAACAGCTGGTAAGAGAAAAAAAAACATGGACTTTTCTACGAAGTCCTCGAATGTGACTTCACATATTCAAAAGGATAAAAATAATGGAGGATTCGGAGTGGGGGAGGGAACATTGCATCATATGTCACAAGTGATCGTAGATTGTCAAAGGCAACTGTAACATGCTAGAAAAATCTAGAGCAAACCTTAAAAATAATAATTTGCATGAACTTGCAGGATCTATTAACACTCAGAATACGTGTTGTGAATGACACTCAACTACTACCACACCTGTAGGACTGTTTTTTTTATTTTTATTTTATTGTAGTCAAGGGTTTGCGTTTAACTTTTCCAAAAGTATTTCAAAGATATTTGATCTTGCATAAAAAATAAAACTGAATTTAACAATAAGTCATTGTGAACATATTAATGTTCTATTCCTCTAATATGAGCTAACACAGGAAGTCTTATTTAAAAATAAAAAATCGAATCCTGCACCACAACAGAAAGTACTCGTGCGTGTGTTTGTCGGAGTATTTGCGTGTGTGTGAATTTCCCAACCTTTGCACATCAGCTTGCACCATAGTTCCTCCTTGTGGTTTTAGTGAGACCCATTGTGGTCTGTTTGTGTGTGTACGTGCAAGTGCGTGTGCTGTGGTTGCCGTGGATACCCAAAGTGGAACCAAAAGACAGAATCCGTTCCTCTTTGGCTTTCATTGGCGGTGAAGCTGAGCGACTGTATTCTCAATTACAACATTTCTTATGAGTGCATCTGCATGGGTGTGTGTGTTGTATACATGTGAGGAAGCAAGTTGTCGCTAGAAGGAAATGAGAACCAGCTGGCAGAAAGCCCTAAGGTGGAAATGACATTCAAAATAAAATTTCAAACTGTCAGATATTTCAACAAAAGGGGTTTCCTCTTTAAACTTTCTGGTAAAACTGCTGCGCTGATGCTTGCTACTATTGATACCTGTTGGATGTTCTCATTTTGGAGATTTAGTCCGTTTTGGTTAAGTAATGTGTATTGCATTTAAATATCCTTCCATCCATCTATCTCCTTCAGCTTATCCGTTGTTGAATCGAGGCAGCAATGGGTCTAGGAGGGAAACAAACATTCCTTCTAAAGGATCCCATAAAGCCCTGACTGCAATTTGAGGCGGAGGCAAATATGGGCGTGGTCAAATGTTTTGAATAAACTACCGACTCATCATTTCACTCCGCCCTGAACACGACACAACAAGACAAATGTTAGTCAGGTGCCGGAAATATTCAACCGAGGCCTAATTTGTAAATCGATTGATGCAAATAATGGGTGGGCCAGCTGGGGGACGGGTGGGGAGGGCCCTCCCCCAAAACATTTTGAAAAAAGTAGATGCTATTTCTTGCATTTTGTTGTATTTTAATGGGCAGTTAAACATCTATAGTTTTCCTACATATGTAAACATGCCGTTTCTGTCAAGCATCCTAACCCCCCCTCACACACTTGACAGTTCCGAGCCGAGACTCCTCCACTAAATTCACTGTGCACTCCACATGTAAAACCTCCAGGCACCTCCTCTCTGTTCATGGCCGCTACCTGTGAGCTCCTGACTGGTTAGCTCATTCGGCACTCACCCCCACCACATTTTTAGGAGCAGAGATTTTTTAAGGGTAGAGGCAGAAATGCTTACTTGAAGAGGCAGATCGTATGTGATATTAAGAAGTTGTAAGTGGCTGTTCTTTTTAAGCTTAGTGTTTATGTAATTATTTTCAGTTTACATATCCAATATAAGTTTTATTCATTCAGGGCAGTCATATTTGTTCATAACTTTATTATTAGTAAGCCTGAGGATTACCGGATCTAAGCAAACAATTACCGAAGTGCACCATGCCAAAATAAGAGTTGCAGGATCCAGCTCAAATTAAGCCCCATATTCCACCTATCGCTTGTGCAAAAGACCCCAATAATTTTTTTGTTCTGGGTAAATAAGAAGAGTTACAGAAAATGATGCATTCAAAATAATTAAAGTTAGTTTGATAGTACCTGTGATGGACTTGCGACCCGTCCAGGGTGTACCCAGCCCCTTGCACAATGATTGCTGGACATGGGCAACCCCTGTGACCCAAAATGGAAGAAGCGGGTAAAAGATAATGGATGGATGGATAGTAAGAAAATTACAAATACTCTTGTATTTTTTAGGTGCAAGATCAGTCAATTTCTTGTGCATCTGGTCTTGTTCTCAGAACTTTGTAACTTCCATCCATCCTCTTCCGCTTATCCGGGGTCGGGTCGCAGGGTTAGCAGCCTAAGTAAGGAGGCCCAGACTTCTCACTCTCCAGCCACTTGGGCCAGCTCCTCCAGGGGAATCCCAAGGCATTCCCAGACTAGCTGAGAAACATAGTTCCTCCAGCGTGTCCTGTGTCTTCCTCTGGGTTTCCTCCCGGTGGGACGTGCCAGGAACACCTCACCAGGGAGGCATCTTAACTAGATGCCCGAGCCACCTCAACTGGCTCCTCTCAATGTGGAGAAGCAGCAGAACTTTGTAACAGTTCCAGATTAAAGTGGAAACCCAATCCTTCACAATATTCACCTTAGTCAACTTAGTTTTTGCTTTAAATGAAGTTAATGATTTCTGTCCTTGTGTTTCCCAGATTCCAGGCAGATGCAGTCATCTCCATCTTGGTCATATGATCAGTCCTACTCATACCTTGGTCAAATATCTACACCTTCTGTTCACACATCTAACCCACTGTCACCTGGTCGCTCCTCCCTCAGTGACCTGTCCTCGAGGCTTACAGGTAACACAAAAAGCACACACAAGAAAGTAGTGAGTACATTTCTAATCTATGACCTTTGCTTCCACTCAGGTCCTGACCTTACAGCCTTTGGTGATCCCAGAATGACCTTGCAACGACCTTTTACTTCCCTGTCCTCCCTTCCTGACTCCCGTTTCCCTGATCCCCGGATGCACTACCCTCCCACAGCAGCCGCTTTCTCCTACACACCATCCCACAACTCCGTCTCCAATAGCGCACTTGGCATTACCATGGCAACGGCCATTGCGACCACACCAACAGGGCGGTACCACACATACCTGCCTCCTCCTTACCCACCAAACAACCCTCACCAAGCTCAAAATGGGCCCTTCCAGTCTACTTCGTCGCCATATCATCTGTACTACTCCACCACCACTGGCTCTTACCAGTTCTCCATGATGGCTGGGGGTGGAAGCAGCAGTGACTCGCGCTCGCCACCAAGAATCTTGCCGCCATGCACTAATGCCTCCACGGGCTCCTCTCTTTTGCACCCCTCTCTACCCAATCAGAATGAAGGAGTGAGTGTGGAGGTGGAATCCAGCCACAGTAGCTCGCCAACAAACATGGCTGCTACCGAAGCTGTATGGAGACCTTACTGAAGCCACGGAGATGGTCGTGTCTCAACAGGGCGTGGAATCATTACCGGCTACAAAGTGACAACTCAAGACCCCTGAATAAACTGAGGATTGAAACATAAATTCCTTATCTACTAATTATACTGTATATGTAGATACATGTATATAAAGGGTGCAATGATACACGTGTCTGTATCAAAATATCACAGTACAAATGTCAAGGATGTGTAGACACAACCAGATGAACACTATCTTGGTCACAATCAATAACTACTTACAGGTATACATCCTGATTCATGCTCAATAATCCAGGTAGAAAATCCAACAAAGTTAAGAAACCGTCCAGAAGAGAACCTGACAACTTTGTTGGAACTACTCATACAGTTCAAGCCAGATGTTTACATACTGTATAAAAAGACAACCATTTTTTTTTTCTCACTGTCTGACATTAAATCACACTATAGGCCTGTCACGATAAATTTTGCTGGGCGATTAATTATCTCAGAAATTATTGCGATAAACGATAATATTGTTTGAAATTTGACAATTAGTAATTGTCAAATTTAAGGAGAAATATTTGTTTTTTGTGTAATACCTTTTCTTGACCACTGGATGGCAGTATAAGACTGAACCAAAGGATGGATAGCGAGGGAGCGAGCAACGTGTCCAAGGAAAAATGGGAGGGAGGCCCCTTGAACTGACATGGGCTGTCGCTCATCGGTTCTCAAAATGGCGGACACTCTGTGTGGTTTGAACTCTTTAGCGTAGCATTTTCACAAAAGCCTTTGAATAAAAAATCAGTAAATAAATTCTCAGTTTCTTTTTGCAGAGAAAACTTTTCACACAAACTGGTTTCAACCTTGAATTTTGGAGCTTCGACTAGACTGACAAGACCCCCCAACCAAGGTCGGCCTGTTAGCTTAGCTGCTTTTAACGATCCAAAAACGTGATTTTGGATCGTTAAAACAGATTTTAAAGAGAAAGGGAGGGGTCAGTGAAGAGCACTAAAGTTGAGACTTTTCTCATCCAGTGTCTTCAGCAGAGAGAGAGAGAGACACGAAGCCGATAAATGAAAATGAGGTTGATAATTTTAATTTATCAAGTGATTGATTTATTGGTTATTGCGACAGGCCTAAATCACAATAAACGTCTCCTGTTTTAGGTCAGTTGGGATTCCCAAAATTATTTCTGTTTGTCAAATGTCCAAATAATGAGAAAATGATTTAAGAGTCTTTTTTTATTACTTTATTTCGAGTCACAAGTTTGCATCCATTTTCCTTGTATTTGGTGGCATTGCCTTTAAAATGCATGACTTGGGTCAAGTTTGGGAGGTTTTGCTCCACAAGCTTCTCGTGGTAGTTTGTTGGTAGTTTTGTTCCATTTCTCCTGACAGAACAGGTGGAATAGTCAGGTTTGTAGACTGGTTTAGAAAATATTTAAGGCAGTATACTTTACTACTTGGATCATTCTGTCATCGCTTCTGATGAAGAAAGTCAAGTCAAGTCAAGTCAGATTTATTTATAGAGCACATTTAAAACAGAAACTGTTACCAAAGTGCTGTTACCAAGGAAAGAGTAACAGAACGTCAAGAGAGACAGATCAAACTCTTGTTGATGAACCCGCAACCAAGAAAAGAAATCAGGTATATGACTCGAGATAATGTACCAGCTGAAGGTGGCCCGTGGCTCAGACATAGTTGTTACATTTTGGCTCCTTTTGGTAACAGAGTTAGACACTCCTAGCTTGGACCCAAGCTTTAATCTCCTGACTTATTTCTCGAAATCTTGCTTCAATATTCCCACAATGTTCTGTCTTCCTGATGCTATGCAAGGTAGTTTGAAGGGCACCACTCTTCTGCAGCACACCCCCCACAACATGATGCTGCCATCCCCGTACTTCAGTTAGGATGGTGTTCTCAGGCTTGCATCACCCTTTTTCCTCCTAATGTAACGATGGTCATTATGGCCGAACAAATCAATTAAAACTACAGGACATGCCTTCAAAACTTACAATCTTTGTCGCTGTGTGAATTCACAAACTAACCAGGCTTTTTTTTATGTTACTTTGGAGTAATGGCTTCTCTCTCAACTAGTGTCCTTTCAGCTCATGTTGGACCAGGACTTGTTTTACTGTGGGTAATGACTCTGATCAATTTCAGCAACATCTTCACAACATTGTTTCATTTGTTTACAAACATTTCTCACAAAAACATCTCAGGAACACAGATTGGTACGATGGCAGGATGTTCCCATGGTGTAATAGTTTGAACAGATGAACGTACTCACATCTGTAAACTGTACCGAATGATGAACCAGAGTTGTGGGGGGTTTCCCATAATGCCACACAAAGAAGAAGCATGTTTGAGGTGTGCCTCAAATTAACTTAAATATTGTCATCTAACCCAGTGGTTCCCAACCCTGGTCCCTGAGGAACACCATCCTGCATGTTTCACTGCTCTAACACACCTGATTCAGTTATTTAAATCAGGTGTGTTGGAGCAGAGAAGCAACTAAACAATGCAGGATGGTGTTCCTCAAGGATCAGTGTTGGGAACCATTGACTATGAAAAGCTTCCAAAGCCATGACATCATACGGGCTTTCCTTAACTGTTTAAAGGCAAAGTAGTGTATGTAACTTGTGACTTTGAAGAAAATAATAAAATATCTAAAAAAACATAATTCTTTTTGTCATTATTCAGACATTTGGCAACAAGAAGTAATTTTGGTAATCCTATTTGACCTGAAACAGAAAAGATTTAGTCTGATCAGATAGTGAGGGAAAAAATGGTTCTGTCTTTTTACACGATATATGTTAAACGCTGGTTACAAGTATAGAGTCGCCAATTTTCAGGAAGTAAAATAAGAAAAACTAAAAATGGTCCAACTCTAGATAACTTAGTTTTGAAACACCTATACGAAGAGTAACGTCATTGAGGAGATGCACCAACTTTGACCATTTACCAAACGTACAGAAAAACTTACATAAACAATAATTTAGTCTGAATTGTATTTTTGGGTTGCACTTAATCTGAGGGTTTTAGATTACCAAATTGTATAATGAACTAGACAATTTTTTTACTCAAATAAAACTGCAATATTTGAATACTGTAAGTAAAAATAATTGGTAAAAAGCTCCGTCTTCAACATGCATTATTTCGCATAACAAAGAGGGATGATGAAGGCACTGACATCAATAATAAATGCCCAGATAAAACATTTGCATCAGGTGCCATAAAAGGTGCCTAATTTCTGTTTCTACGTAGTCCCTTGATTATCGCGGAGGGTTACGGTTCACCCCCCTCCCACGATAGGTGAAAAACTGTGAAGTAGGAATGCTAGGCCTGTCACAATAACTAATTTTGCTGGGCGATTAAATGTCTCAGAAATTATTGCGATAAACAATAATATTGTTTGAAATTTGACAATAATTAGTAATTATTGTCAAATTTGAAAAGAAATGTTGGCTAATTTTTGTGTGTAGTACCTTTTTTGACCACTGGATGGCAGTATAAGACAGTTCGAACCGAAGGATGGATAGTGAGGGAGAGAGCAGCATTCTTTAAGAAAAATGGGAGGGAGGCCCCCTGACGTGACATGGGCTGTCTCATGTTCTTGTTTTTCTGTTCTCAAAATGGCGGACACTCGGTGTGGTTTGAGCTCTTTAGCATGGCATTTGTCACACAAAGCTTTAAATTAAAAATCAGTAAAGTTCTCAGCTTCTTTTTGCAGAGAAAAACAACTTTATAGACGAAGGCACAGGTTTCAACTGTGAATTTTGGAGCTTTGACAAGACGGAGGTTTTTTTTCCCGAGGTCGGTTTGTTAGCTTAGCTCGTAGCTTAGCTTCTCAGCTTAGCTGCTTTTAATGATGCAAAAACACAATTTTGGACGGTTAAAACAGATTTTAAAGAGAAAGGGAGGGGACAGTGAAGAGCACCGGAGTCAAGTCTTTTGTCATCCGGTGTATTCAGTAGAAAAAAGACACACAAAGAAACAAAGCCGATAATTTTCATTTATCATGCAATTAAGTGATTTATTGTTTATCGCAACAGGCCTAAGGAACGCTATATTTATTTTAGAATTATGTATATTTTAAGGCTTTATAAACCCTTCCCACACTCTTACAATGTTCTAAACTCTTAAACCTACTTAATTTTACCAACATAACTATATGTATTGCACAGTAGCTACTGCAAAATTTTAAATGAGTACTCACCAGCCTTGGTCCGGTTATGATCAGCTCTCTGCAACCGCTTGAGAGGCTTCCTGGGCCGGCAAGCAGCACTCAGACTGACAGCTGAGGCTGAAAGTACAGTAGTCCCTTGTTTATCGCAGGGGACCTGTACCCTGAAGCCCCGCAATAAGTGAAAAATCATGAAGTAGGGATACAGTAGTCCAAGTTCAAGTTCAAATACATTAAACTTTATATTATGGCTTTAAAAACCTTACCACACTCTTAAAATGTTCTAAACTCTTAAACCTACATCATTTTAACAACATAAGTTACTAAATTTTACTTAATAGCAATGTAGAACAGCAACAGCTCTGGTTCCGGTCCAACTCTGTTCTATTCCAACTCGGTTCGTTTCTGCAGACCTATCCTACAGCAATGAAGCCCACAAATCAGTCCTCTAAACTCTTAAACCTACTAATTTTAACTACATACAGTATTTATTTGTACAGGAGCTACAACATTTTACTTACCAGGATCTGCAGCACAGGAGCAGCTAGATTCCGGTCCGACCCGATAGATGAAAAAAGTCCCAGTACATGACTGAAGACCTCCGCTCTATCCAGCTTGATGTGTGCGTGCTGCTGCACAGGATTTAATCCACCACCTCTGGTCCGGTCTGGACCAGCAACGCACGACCAGAACCTGACTGAACCCTGCAGCCGTCTGCAGCGCCCAGGATCCGGGTCACACTGATTCTAGATCAACTGCAGCCCAGAGACCCAGCAGTGAAGATACAACTTGAACGATGAGTTCAGCTTCAGTATTATTTGTGACTTCCCTGCCAGTCCTATGAGCAACAGAACTTACAGAACTTCTGACTTGGCTGCAAAACTTTCCCTCCATTTGCAAGCAGTGGTTGAAAGAGCAGTGTTGACTTCCGGGAAGTGATAGCTTCTGGGTAACGTAGTTCTTTAGACTGGCAAAGTAGTGAAGGCTTAATGAAAGAAAACTACAAAATGGCAGCGCATTTTTTATTTTTGGAAAATATTATGTACATGTAAAGTCCTTAAAAAAAACGTGATAGAGCGAGTCCACGATAAATGAATCGCGATGTACCGAGGGACTACTGTACTCCTGGTCCAATTCCCAGTTGGTTCCGTACAGCTCTCTGCATCCACTGAGCGCTGAAGTCACTTTGAAAAAGGACTGAACTTTTTAGTCAGGTTTGGATTGGATGAAAACTTTCCCTCCATTTTGGCAGAAAGCAGCGGCCCGAAGCACTGTTGGTTTCTGGGTAATGTAGTTTTTTGACTTGCTATTCAGTATAGGCTTATTGAAAGAAAACTATAAAATGGTGGTGCCTGTCTGAAGTTTTTTTTTCCCGTTAGCTTGTTATCTCGCACCATTCCAATCACGTGAATAACATTTAATTTTACAGTCTTTGAAAAATCGCGAAAAAGAGTCTGTGAAAGTCGAACCGCGAAGTAGCGAGGAACTATTGCACTGTCAATTTAAATGAGGTTGAAGTCCTAATGTTTACAAAAAATTATCCTAAACAAAGGCTAATTTTTTGGTCACAGATCATGTTGATATTGTAAATAGATTTGTTTATCGTGCTAAATATGTAAAGGCTTGACTGTGTTGACCATCTCTACGTACAAGTTGTCTTCTTTTTCCCCTTGTGCTATTGAGGCTCTGCTTTTGTGCTGGATAAGTTCAGAACAATTAGGCGCTTCAAATTTGAATGTAAATAATAGTGAATTAAATCATAGCAGTACTGTTAGTTCAATGCTTGACTTCTGAAAGAGTTACACTGTATAAAAATAAGCTTTTTTTTCTTCTTCCTTTTGCTTGTATGCAAAGCAATGGATCCTTGCAAGTGGAGGGAGCAATTTTACCCACAACCATGCAGAATGGCAGAGTTAGGGGGTGGCCAACGGTGGCATTGTCCACTACAGTATCTTCAGCCACCCCATTTATTTGAGGAAACTATACTTTTAATCTATATTTGTCTAGAAAGCAAAAATTTCTCAAATGATAATGCTTGTTTACATACGTATATGGTGGTGGGCCATCTTGGATTTTGACTTGGCAACCCTATTTTTGACTGGGACCTTACTTTCACCTAGCTAGATGCAACCACACACCAAAATGGAAGTCAGTACCTCGCTTAATTTTCAAATCATGTTCACAGCACTAGACTGACGGAGGGTATTGGGAATTCCCCCTCTTCACGATGGGGGACAAAAATTCAGACCTTCTTGGCGCTGCAAGATGTCTGTCCTTTCCAGCGTGTTACAAATGGAGTTCTTGGTCAGTGGTTCCAACTTGTGAAACAGAAAAACACTTTTAAGGCAGGCCTCTCTGCGCAAGACAAGAATTTGTGCTGCCATTTTGAGAAAACCTTTGTATAAAAATGTCCTCTTTTGGAAATATCGCCAGAATGGCACCAGACCATCATTATCAGATTAAAAACTAAGACTTAACAGAGTCCAGTGTTTTGTAAATGGCACAATTATAGCTCTTTAAAAAAATGTAGCATTTAAGTTCATCGTTGATTATTATCTCATATGAACCCTTCTTGACCTTGATAAAGCTAAACAGGCTACCGTATTTTCCGAACTATAAGTCAGTTTTTTGCATAATTTACATGCCCTGTGATTTATTGGCCAAAGCAACATATTTATGGATTTTTTTTTTAAACCAATTTATGACTGAGATATGACCCGTTTTCATTCATTCTGACAGATTTTTTTTTTTAGCAGTACCACTTTCAGCCACTTGATGGCAGCAGAGTAGTAGTCGCATTAGGGCATGCCGTTGTATCATGTAATAGGTAAACGTGGCTATAATGACAAACTCAAAAAAGTTCAAGACAAAAACAACTGGATGTTATTTATTTTACTTGGGGTTTTTTTCTTGAACTTTTTTTAATTTACCATGTCCTGGATGACTGAGAATCTTCACCAGCTATTAATGATATAATCGGCTTGCCATAGCACCCCCACCTTTGTTTTCCTCGCTGCTTGGAGCAAGTCAAACCAGCTGCACCGCCCCAGAGAAATGCAGCTAATTTGACCATTAAAGTGCATTTATTAAACAAACGTTAGATTGAAACAAATTTAATATAATTTGAAGCAAACAAATAATTGTTTTTAAGTGTTAATCTTGTTAAAGTCCTCCTGTGCACGCTCCCGCCATTTGGCAGCTCATCGATTTTTGGCACACTGGCCCACATTTCCGGGTTGTCCGCGGTGACGCATAATAGATGCGACGTATACGGCGAAGTGACGTATTTATGGATTTTTTCCACTTTATTAGACAAATATGGACTGATGCGACTTATAGGGCAGAGCGACGTGTACGGCAGGAAATACGGTAGTTGGGATGCTCATTACAGAATACTCGCCTTCTACATTTCCATTATGCACAATTTGTTTATTTAAATCAAATTAGGATGTTTCTGAGAGCTTATGGGCTGACATGGCATACAAGATTTTAACAATGTGCGTTGTTCACAGTAAACAGTACAATGATACACAAAGGTCTTCTAAAGATGGCTGCCAGAAATCTCAGCTAACACCGCAAGCAGCCATTCAAGGTTTTCTCGATTTTAGAGTCCACATTGCCTTCAGATCATTTACAAGCTTCTCCTGTGCCGTGGACTGACCCCCCACCCCACGAGGATCCACCTTGCTTGCAGGTCCAGACTAAGGGCGAGCGATGGTCATTTTGTGTTCTGCCTCATAAAACTGTTCGAAAATGACGCCGTTCATTTCTTGAATGGGCAAATTTACAAAATGAGCAGGGATCAAAGGGTCGTTTCTCTCGCTGTAAAAAAAAACTGTTTATTGGCACGATCTGGCCGTGATTTTAAAGTCCGATTTTGACACCTAATGTTTTGAATCAGACATTAACAGACACATAAGGAGAGGGCGTTTGCACTCATTAAAAAAAGAAAACAACGACTCTACATTAAATTCATACAGATGTATGTACCGGTACATAAACTGAGTGACGCAAGTTATTCCATCCGTTACAACAAAGAACTAAAATCTTTTAAAACGTGTCCATTCATTCACCGAGTTAATATTTTCAAAGAAAGTACTGGTAGTCATTTGTAGGGGAATTCCTGACCTGATTATTTGCTGCGGAGCACCAATAATGCCCTTTAATTTGCTTTGAAATAAAAATATAATTTAAAAATGATAAAAAGCATTAAAAAATATAAGACAATCAGTGATAAAACTGAAACACTGACGTGAGATGAAATAAAAAAAGCTGCCCTTTCATAGTCTCTTAAGAGCGCCACAGTTTCAGATTAAACACACCGACAGTGGGTCCACGTCAGCTCTTCCAGGCGTAGCTGTAGTTTTTCATGTGGACGTCTGTCAGAGCAGACTTGCAGAGGGTGGCAGGCTGTTCCAGCTGATGGATCGACGCAGGAAGGAGACCACAGCCAGTCAGGTCAACCAACCCACCGCTGCTCTGTAAACAGACAGAAAGAGTCAATTCATCCATAAAGAATGTTTCAAACCTACGAAGCCAACCAGAACTTCTCTAGAATAAAAACACGGCTCTCAGGCGCCATCTAGTGGCACGCCGAAGAACATGTATTCACTTTTTACAAGTTAAACAAACTGAACTGTGATATAAACAAACAAAAAAAGGCAAGAGGAAACCAAAATAAAAGAGGCTAAAGCTCATTATGATTATAGCTCTAGAGAAACCAGCTGATGCACAATTAATTTTTAAGAACGCCTTTCAAGAAACATGTGCCTGACCTCTTGGTCAAGATAAAACTAGAAAGCCACACTGCCCTCAATGGGATTTTATCTGGTTAAATAAAGTCAGTGGGATATGATCATATCTAAAGTACTCTATCCAACATGCCAACAACCCAAAACACAGTAAAGACGACACTTTGGGAGAACTCTGTGAATGTCCTCGAGTAAACCAACCAGAACCCTCGATTTGAACCCTGTTAAATGTCCCTGAAGGCCTGAAAATGGCTCCACCATCGGACCCCATCCAGATTTAAGAAACTCGCTGCATCAAACCCAAAAAGGCTCCAAGAACTGCTTCCAGTGGTGCTCCAAGTCAATCCTAAGGGTCTGGATACTTATGGAGTTTTTTTTATTTTAAAGCATTTACTTAATAGTATAAACGTATTCACTTTGGTGTTATGTGGTACAAAGTATAAATTAGTGATAAAAAATAAATTAGGAAGAAGCGACACCATAAAAGGGCAGAAGATTTTTTGAGCCCACACTTCCATATTTAAAAAAAAAAACTTTTTTAATTCCTATGTAATAGTAATAATAATAATAATAAATAAATGCTTTGCGTGTCTGTATTACCTGTTCCTTACTGGTATTCACGTTCAGAACAGCAGTAGGTGAATGCGTATAAAGTGCAGCTGAAAAGTTTCCTTTCTGCGCGAGTCGCAAAAGGGTTGTGATGGCATGAAGAGAGGAGGGGAGGATGGGTCCTGTAGAGAATAAATTTACAGAGAAAAAAGTAAAACCATTTGTGTTTGGTTGAATTTTTTTTCTTTGTTGTAACAATGCTTGCCGACAATATGTTATATACGGTTGGAATGCTGGTTTATTTAATGGTGCCTAGGCCTGTCACGATAACAAATTTTGCGGGGCGATTAATCGTCTTAGAAATTATTGCGATAAACGATAATATTGTTTGAAATTTAATAAAAATTGTCTAATTTTAGAAGAAAGGTTGATTAGTTTGGAATGTAGTACCTTTTTTGACCACCTGATGGCAGTATAAGACCGTTTGAACCAAAGGATGGATAGCTGAGCAGCATGTTTTTAAGAGAAATGGGAAGGAGGGCCCTTGACGTGACATGGGCTTGTCATTCTCCATTCTGTTACAGAAGCACGATCCGTAGTGTACTTCTGGGTCGCACGGATCGCGGTTGTTTGTGAATAAAAACCGTTTTATTTTACATAGAAAAGTACGTGCTCTATCGTCACCGATCTTGATGTAGCGAATTTATGACAATGGTATTTACATTATAAATCATTGGTTAAGATGATATGTGATGCATTAGACCTGACCCCCAGCCTGGACTGATTGAGAAAAAACCTGTAAGATATATGAATTAGTCCCATGACGAAACAGCGCCACTCAGTGGTGAAGCTGCATATCATCTTAACCAATGACGTAAATATGTCAAAGATTTTAACAGAAATACGAGTGGCGTAAATTAGCAACACGAAAATCGGCGGCAATACAGCACATACTTTTCTAAGTAAATTAAGACCGTTCTTATTCATAAACGTAATTATACCAGTACATTTTCCTTAATCTAGCATACTGAATGGGGATCCGTGCGACCTGGACGTATTCCTTTTAGCGCATGCGCAAATGTGGTGTTGTCTAGCTCACGCTAAATGTTTGAACCTCATCAGTAGTCCAAGGTACTATTTTTGGTGCCTCCTTAGCAGAAATTAGCAAAAACAACAGAGATAAGAGAGAAAATGTACGTTCTGATGCAATATGCAGTTTCGCTGGGTGGGTCATCCAGTGTCATAACTCTGCTCGCCAATCAACAGCTGCTGTCTGCTTATGTCCAAATCGTCGCCTCGCAATTCGCTTGGAACCACGAACACGGTTCAATAAACCAGGCGGAGTGGGGGTGGGTACCAGCAGTGGGAAGGCCCTCAACTGGTGTTGTACCGATGAGTGTAAAGACAGTGGCAAAGCACCGCAACACAACCACATTGGCTGACTTATGACTTGAAGAATGGGATGCCATCCCACAGCAGCGTGACCAAACTGGAGCAGCATATGGAGGAGTATTGTGGCTGTGTATGGTTCTTCCACATACTACAAAGGCCCATTTGTTAAATGCACAAATTATTAAATTGCTAATATGTCTTCTTTCTGTAGTCTCCAATCATCCAATCCAACAAACAATCCAAGATTAAACAAGAAAACAAGTTGTTTGGCATTGACAGAAGATTTGGCAAGTTTTTCATGGACGGAACACATACACAACTCTGCTGCTCAACCCACAAATGTATTCTGCTAACAAATGTGGCGACATTTAAGCGGAAGTAAACAGGCATTATAATGTTAAAAGACTTATTGCCAAGAAGCATTGTTATAAACGGTGAATAATCCAATTTACTTGTGCCAAGTTTAGAAATGGACTTTACATTTTATGATCAGCTACAGTAAGATGGGCCTCGAGCTCCAGCGAACAGTCTTGCACTTCTTTTAAGACAATCTACAACTAATGTGGCCACATTCTTCTACCTCTGTAAATGTATACAATTAAAGACCGTCCATCTTGTCGGGTTACTTTGTTTTTATGGTCTTGTTGCCACGAAGAGAAGAAAAAAATTCTATGTTTGTTGGGTAGCTCGACCGCATTTCACTTCCTCACACTTTAAGCTTTCAAGCCATGCATCTTTCTAATAAAACTATGTTTTTCATGCTATAGAATTTATAGCATAACTATCACCAACTTCACTGTGAATATAGGACACTAGTAAATATGTATATTATTGTTGCATAAATAGTACAAATATAATTTATTGGAAAGACAAGGGTGAACTAAAATGACTTCTTTAATTTGACATACACTTTTAGCTCTGGTGATTGTGTACCTGTGAGTTCCAGAGTGCTTATGTTCTGGTGAGTAGAACCAACTTGGCTCTTCACATTCATAGTGCGGCCCTGGAAAACAAAATCACAGAAGTTGAGCGTATGTGTAGCTTTGTTTACAATCCTGTGCAAAAATACTACAGTGGGTATAAAGCACAAAAACACTTGTGTTGAAATGCCTTATAGAAAGTATTCCATTTCTCCACTTCTTGATGACAGTCTTCACCCTGTTCTGTTGATTAGCCAATGCTGGAGGTTTTTGTTGACCCGCTCCTGACTGATACCTTTTAACAATGAGCTCCTTGTGAACCTTGGATCCTACTACACAATGGAATATAATAAACATGAGGAAAATGTTGCTGGGCGAGCAGAACTTTTCTTCAGGCTAATCAGTCACTTTGATGGACCATAGGCGAGTGGCCAAGAAGAATGGAGGCTTAACGTTTTTCCATTGTCCGGTCTCTTCATGACTCACGTTGTTTGAGTCAACAAAGGAAATAAAATGAAGAAATAAAATGGCACTGGCTTGATAAAAGCACTAATCCAACATTTCTCTTCATTGATCCAAAGCCAGTGCACCACAGATCCACAGTGCTTCTTAGTCTTTGAATCACATTTTATTGGCCCAGATAACTTTTAGGTCTGGTGCCGGTTACATTTGGGGGCTCGTCCGGGATGATCTAGCATCACTGCCTGGTGTTGGCTAAATCTTTGGCTCAAAGAGTATGACTGTAATACAGTCGTATACATCTTTTAAAAAAAGGATCTGTAATTCTACTCGGGTCTACACAATCTAGGTGGTTTTGATAGAACTTAAGTGCTGCCTCAGTGTGGTTGGGATCGTCACAGAGCAGCCACAGGGAATTTACACAACCTGAGTTTCTACCCAAGGCAAACAACACAGTAATGGTCAAATAATAGAAATAAAGTTACAAAACCCTCCCCAGTACTCTGCCACGGTTTCCAAAAATACTGTGGTCGAGTTCAAGCTACCTACCCTTCAGCTCCTCGTAGCACCACAATGGCTACGCGTTATTTTAATAGACGTAGATTTTATTTTATAAGTAAATAACCTGATCAGTCTATGAACTGCTTGAAGGCTGCTGAAGTCAAATCTTTAGCTTGATTCACTAAAAACCTCAGCTGAAGAGGCACCAAGAACCAAACCACCCAAGAGAAAGAAGGGAGCTGAGCAGTCAGCCCGAGTAGGGTCGAGTTGAGCCCATGGACAAAGGCCATATTTCAATTCAATCAAAAAGTGAATCAAGAATTTGTTTATTTTATACATTTCACTGGGGCATGTTGTAGCTCGATGGTCAGTGCCGTGGTTTTGGAATCCTGAGGGTGCAGGCTCGAGCCCGGGTTGCGTCAAGAAGGGAATCTGCCGTAAAACAAATTGCCAAATCTTTCATGCGAGTTTGCTCGCTGTGGCAACCTCTGAAGTAGGGAGCAGCTGAAAGAAACTTACTTTTACCTCCAAAAGATTATTTCAGTTGAATCAAAATTAGGTTTTGAGATGATTTATTCGAGTCTAATTGTTTTGTCGTCACACAAACCTAACATTTTACCAAAAAATGTGGGTTGTATACTATTTTTACTGTCCCACTGCAAGAGAAGGCAAATACAGACCAGTGACCGGTGCCAAGCTCTTATCTTTGTCATCATAAATGTTTATTTTTGCCATTTCCAAAATATGCAAAATAACCTGGACTAAGAAAAAGAAAGGGATTCCACAAATATATGTTTTGCACGGGGAATAAAGCAACATGTTTAATTTGAAGTGTTTGGAACGTCATTGTTCTGAAAGGGTCTGAGCGTTCTTCCAGTACCTTCAGCATGTTCATGGTAGCCCCTCTGAAAGCAGTGGGGGCCAGCAGCGTTGGTGGTAGCCCAGTCTGAGAGCCGGCAGCAGCCACCAAACCCTTACAGTTGATGAGGAAGTTGATGAGGTTGAACGTGTGTGGTCCCTCCACACACACAACGGATTCTGGTTTATGGTCCAGAGCTGTGGTCTGCCCCTCCCTCTGGCTAGGAGAGCAGTCAAGGATCTTTAAATAATTGCATTTATGGAGCACGAAAGCATAAAAGTTGTGTTAATTAAGACGAGGAGGATACAGTTGTATGCTGATGCCATCTGGTTTCCTGATTTTGTCCTGGAGTCCCATCTCCTTTAGCCACGAGAAGCTGTCACCTTTATCGCCGTTGTATTCCTCATCCTCCCGATCACAGCACCTACGTTTCAATCATTTTACTTGCGAAAATCTTAAACCCGTTTGTAATTGAAGAATACAAGTTGCTGATGACACTTCGGACACGGTGGAAAAACAGAAGGCTTACATCTTTTCCTTGAGTTCTTCATCTCCAAGGTCATCCCTGCTCTTCTTCTGACTCTCCACTAGAGGGAGGCTGAACTCGATACCTAAAAACAACCAAAACCAGCAATGAAAAGACAATGGCATGTTTCAGTGATGCTACAAGTCTCTAATTCAGTCTGACACAAGAAAATGCTACTTCCCAGCCAAAAACCAGGCTCATCATCATTGCCAGTCATGCATGGTGGTGGGAGGCTGGTTTTGATTGGGCAGAAACTACAAGAAGCGAAGAACAGATATGTAGACACCAAACAAAGAGCAGCCAAAGAATGAATTAACCTGGAGTCAGTAACCTAAGTCAGTGCTGGGAATGTGCAGCTGGTTAGCAAGTGGCCAGATGTTTTGTAATTAGACATTTACAAACTGCTCGAGGCTTTATACACAAGAGATTCAGAAAGCATACACCCATACAAGTATACAGTGCACACCCACGCTACAGGTATGACTGATGCACTTGTGGAGTTTTGTGTTGTAGATGAACAGATGCTGAGATATATTCATCAATTAAAACGGATTCTCTCATTTTTCTGGACTGAATAAAACGTGCATTGAATTTAATAAAATGTAACGTGAGACGTTATTTATCTTTGACCCATCAAAATGGATGTGGCCATTTATTTACAGAATCAAAGTTTAACATCAAACATTTACATTAATTTGGCAAAATATGAAAATAACAACATAATTAATCAGCTTTACAGGTAGTGAGAAACAATACGGCGATTGTTTCACTTTTCAGCAGAACAGCAGACATCAAGTCACACGGCGGTGATTGAGAACTTTGCTTCAGACATTTCTAAAATATCTGTCAATGATTTCTACTTGATAGAAGAATTTAAAGATGGAAAATGAAGTTTAAAGGGAGTGAAAGATGGATGAGGGAGAATGTGGGGTGTATGAGTGAAAAGTGTTGACAGGACGACACCCTCCATCCGACCCAGCTTTCCTCGGTACGCTCAGTAGTGGACTAGGCTCATTTACCTCTCTGACGATGGATCAGCGGAAGAGGAGCTCCAGTTAACGCTACCTTTCAGCGTCTCCGTAGGATGGCAGAGATATATCCGGAGTGGTGACGGGACTTCGTCAACAACAGTTCACCTCAACGAGTGGACCTCACATGAGTGGGGTTCGTCCGAGTCCACTCAGAGGTGGAAGATTTATAATCCCAAACTCGGAAGAGCCTTATCATGGCTGGACTTCTGTTCTCCCAAACGACTGGAGCTGCAAACTCTCCAGCCCGACTCCAACGGCAACTCACAGAACAACGACTTCACAGAACTGCGAACATCTCAGAACTGGGAGAACTAGGAAGTACCGACATTTTAAAGAGCTCTATTCCCGGTTCATTTGGGAGTTTCTGATTGGTCAATATCAACCAGACAGGGGTGTGTTTTGTGATGTAAGGTGTTATGGAAAGTCAGAAACCAGCAAGAATGTTATGGAACAGATTGAAAATGTTTCCCAGACAGGAGAGAGAAATGTTTGGTCGAGTTTGGAGAAACAGGTGCCAACTTCTCTGTTTACGTCTGAGAGGATTTAAAAACAAGACAGTTGTTCCAACACTTGTCTGCTTCGACTCCTGACCTTGGAAAACGTACACTGCTCATTCAAAGACAGAAATCAGAAAATGCATAATTACTCTGTAACAGGCCTTAACATGAATTCTACTTTGCATAAGCAACCAAAAATCATTGTTACTGTTTTACAGTTAATAAAATTGATTAGTTCACTGTAACATCTAAAATGTTTGAACTAAAACACTTTGATTATCAAACATTTGTAAAACAGGAATGATAATAGAAAAGAGAGTGTTCTTTCACTTGAATTTTCAAGAAAGAAAGTCTCAGGATGGGTGAACCTGTATTTCTGGATTCAAATCAATGAAATGACAGTTTCTGTCCCACAAGGTTCTTAAGGTCTAGGGTTTTGACCTTAGGCTTAGTTTTGACATCAGGTCAAGTTCACTACAGTGTCGATGCCTAACCATTGTGGTTCAGTTCCCAGCCCCCTTCCAGACTCAGGCTTAAGCGGCTTCAACCTGTCAGAGCAGCCGTCTCCATGATCCTCCATCTGCCTGCACAGAGCAAACTCTATGGAACAGTGCGGTTCCGTGGGAAAACTTTGAACGCTCCGTTTCTGCCGGACATGGTTCTGGAAGGCAGTCATCGTCCGTTGCCGCGGTCGTTATTATCATTATGCTGCTAACAAGGTCATGTTGCGAATAGGACTATGCTGCTAAAAGAAACACACTGCTAACAGAACCATACTGATAACGGCATCATGCTGCTAACAGGACCATGTTGCTAATAGAGCCATACTGCCAAGAGAACCCCTCTGGTAATAGGACTACACTGCTAACAGAACAACCCTGCTAATAGAACAACACTGCTAACAGAACAACACTGCTAACAGAACAACCCTGCTAACAGAACAACACTGCTAACAGAACAACACTGTTAACAGAACAACACTGCTAACAGAACAACACTGCTAACAGAACAACACTACTAACAGAACAACACTGCTAACAGAACAACACTGCTAACAGAACAACACTGCTAACAGAACAACACTGCTAAAAGGACCATGCTGCTGTAGATTTATTGTTGCCTTGTTTTGTAGCTTTGTTGCATGCTTTGGTATTTCTTCTTGTTGTTTTGGCGAGTCGAGACGGTTCTTCTCGTCCTGCGCATTTCTTGCATTGTTGACCTTGTGTTGATCTGCATATGACAATAAACCTAAACCTATACAAGTCGTTGGACAGTTATTATTTCCACTTCAGGTATGTCCATGTCACAAACCGTGTGTGCGTGCCTTGATAAGAATGATGGATTTGTCATCAGCGCTAACTGTACAGTAATTTAAATTAATGCAAATGTGATATTTCAGTTTCATAGTGTGCAAACTGATGAGAAAAAAAAAAGCACTGCATATGGCACTATATACACCCGTCAACAAACTATTACAAAAGCAATCTGTAGCAATGGCTCGGACCAGCTAAGACCTTGTATAACCTTTGACCTTGATTAGTAACCTTGACCTTAGAGCTGGCGTGATGAAAAGATTACGAGCCACGCTGTCAAGAGGTGGTACAACTGTCAATCAAGCTTCCTTAAATTATCTTGAGCGAATCAGAAGTTACGGCACAGCCAATCACTTTTTAACATTGACCTTGATTTGTGACCTTGACTTTGGAGCTGGGCGTGATGAAATACGCGACACTCCGTCTAACGATGACGCATCAAGTTTCGTTAAATTATTGTGAAGTTATGGGCGAGACAAGAAAATGTTACGTACGTAGAGATTTCCATCATAAAACTTTAAACGTTCGTAGAATCCGGCGGCAACAAAAAACTGTCGAACAGTGAACGAGGTCTGAATCCTTTCTGAACCCGCTGCAGATATATTCACGTCTCTAGTTTTATGAAGCCAACAGAGTCAAAAGCTGTACCTTCAGTCCTCATTGCCTCTCGGAGACCTCGAGTTGTGGGAGAAACCAAAGCGGTGATGTGGTCTGATCCCCCGAGACCCGCTGCCCTGAACAGCACAGTAAACTAACACGCAGCAAAACAGATGAGTGGCAAAACGCTGAGCGTGAAGAGCTCGTAAATGTATGGCACAAAGAACCGGTCAAACCTACCTGATAGGAACAGACGTAGAAGTACGGACACAGTCCAGACTTTAGAAGGCTGAAGAGAGACGACAGACTGACCGACCTAAAGGTGAAACACAAAAACAACTTGCCTTGTTAAAGTCCTGGTTAGAATCCCCTGAAATGTTTCCATGCCTCCTAGTGTGGCCATTACTCAGACCAGAGTACCGTAGTTTTTGCTGTATAAGTCGCAGCTATTCTTGTTTGATTTTTTGCATAATTTGCCTGCCCTGCGACTTATAGGCCAAAGCGACTTATTTATGGATTTTTTTCCCCCATATTTATAAACCAGTTTTTTGGCTGAGATATGACCGTTTTCATTCATTCTGAGTGGGATGTTCTCTGTCTGCCAGACTCGGTTCTGGACTGCGGTCTGTGAGGGCAGCTGCTGCGGTCCTTATTACCATCAAGCTGCTGACCGGACATGCTAACAAGACCTGCTAAGCTGCTAACAGAACCACGCCGCTAACAGAACAGAACCACGATGTTGAAAGAACCTCACTGCTAACCGAATCACACTGTAGATGTTATTCTTTTTCACCTTTGGCACCTTGTTTTATAGTAATTATTAGTGTTTTTTAGTATATCCTGATGCATGCTCATTTTTTTAAAAACATGTTTTTTTTAGTATGTTAGTATTTTTTTTGTTTGTTTTTCTTAGTATGTTAGTAGTATATTTTTATTAGTATGCTAGTAGTATTTTTTTAGTATGTTAGTAGTATATTTTTTAGTATGTTAGTAGTATTTTAAAAAATATTTTTCTTAGCATGTTAGTATTTTTTTGTTTTTCTTAGTATATATTTCTTGTTTATCTTAGTATGTTAGTAGTATTTTTTTTGTTTTTCTTAGTATGTTAGCAGTATTTTTTTTGATTTTCTTAGTAAGTTAGCAGTATTTATTTGATTCTCTTAGTATGTTAGTATTTTTTCTTAGTATGCTAGTAGTATATTTTTTAGTATGTTAGTATTTTAAAAAATATTTTTCTTAGCATGTTAGTATTTTTTGTTTTTCTAAGTATATTTCTTGTTTTTCTTAGTATGTTAGTAGTATTTTTTTTTGTTTTTCTTAGTATGTTAGCAGTATTTTTTTTGTTTCTCTTAGTATGTTAGTAGTATTTTTTTCTTAGTATGCTAGTAGTATATTTTTTAGTATGTTAGTAGTATTTTTGTTAGTTTTTCTTAGTATGTTATTAGTATTTTTTTGTTTGTTTTTCTTAATATGTTAGTATATATATATTTTTTTTGTAGTATGTTAGTAGTATATTTTTTAGTATGTTTTTAGTGTCTTTGCTGTATGATTTGATAACTTGTTGTTTTCTTCGTTTGTTTTTTTGGGCGAATCGAGACAGTTCTTCTTGTCCTAAGCACCTGGACGGGTCGCAAGTCCATCACAGGGCCACATAGAGACAAACAACCATTCACTCTCTCACTCACACCTAGGGACAATTTAGAGTTACCAATCAGCCTAACATGCATGTTTTTGGTCTGTGGGAGAAAACCGGAGTACCCGGAGAAAACCCATGCATGCACGGAGAGAACATGCGAATTCCACCCAGAAAGTCCTTATGACTTTCCCTTAAAAATTCAATGTCTTCACCGGCCTATATGTACATGTATAACGTCTATTTATGTTGCTTTCCTGTGGGAAGTTTATTTGATGCCTCAAATCGTGCCCCGTCTAGGACACGGCCTGAGAGATCTTTTTTTATACCGTCTTTCCGGTAGTTTTCTTCCCTTTTCTCATCGAAGCAAAATATTATTCTGAATACGAATAAGAGGGCCGAGCTTTCATAGTGGCAGCTTCGTGCACTCCGCCCATCTTTAAGACGACTGTACGTACATGTTCTCGTTGTATCTCGGTGCAATAATAATAAAGTTTATTCTGATTCTGAACACTATCACTTTTCAGCCGCTAGATGGCAGCAGAGTCAATGGCATGCCATTGTGTCATGTAATAGGTAAAAGTGGCTATTAATGACACAATCGGCTTGCTACAGCCTGCCAGCTTCGTCCAGCTCGCCTGGAGCAACCGTCAAATCAGCTTCATTTCACTGCACCGCCCCGGTGAAATGCAGCTGATTTGACCATTAAAGTGCATTTATTAAACAAAAGTTCAACCGAGACACACTTCTACTATAATGTCGAGCAAACAAATAATTGTTTTTAAGTGCTAATCTTGTTAAATTCTTGTTGAAGTCCTCCCATGCACGCTCCCGCAGCCGTCATTTGGCAGCCAATTGATTTTTAGCACACCGGCCCATATTTCTGGGTTGACAGCGGTGACGCATAATAGATGCAATGTATACGGCGAAGCAATATATTTATGGATTTTTCCACTTTATTAGACAAATCTGGACTGATGCGACTTATAGGGCGGTGCGATGGGTACGGCGGAAAATACGGTACACAGAAACAGTCCTTGAAGAACTTTAGGGTGAAACAGAGTGCACAGCTCACCAGTCCCTCATGAGACTCTGCTGCAGCGCTGCATCTTGAGCCCACGGGCTGCTCTTCCCAGAGAAGGCTCTCTCGGCGTTGATCCTGGGGAAGAGAGAGAGCCAGGACAGGGAGGGGTGCTGCCAGTACACCAAGCACTGCTGAAAGGCACAACGGAGCTCGGAGCAGGACTTCGGATCCTAACACGGACAGATTAGATACAATTAAGTTGCAGGTTTCAAAGAAATCGCAAACCGCTATAATTTACAACTCCAGTTCAGAAAAAGTTGTGACGCAAAAACAAATTTCATAAAACCACATTTTTGTTCACAACGAAACACGGTAAACACATCAAATGTTGAAACTAAGAAATTGTATATTTTTTGGGGGTGGGATTTGAATGAGATGCAGTAGTTCTGTGCTACTTCGTGGTTCAACCTTCGCGGACTCGCTCTTTCATGGTTTTTCAAGGTAAGACTGAACACGAGAAAATAATTAATTGTACATGACACACGATTGTCAACTTTAATATTACTCGTATGACGGCGACAGTCCTGGATACAGTACAGTAAAAAGTTAATGAAAAATTAAAATACTTCGGACAGGAGCCACCATTTTGTAGTTTTCTCAATAAGCCTACACTGTATCCCCTCATAATGACTACATTTCCCAGAAGCCAACAGGGCTCCACCCAGAAGCCCCATTGCCCTCTGCTGAATAACAATAATAGTGCTGTGTGTTGAAATTAGTCCTATGCATTAAACGCATCACATCTGGGATACACCCAGGTGGAGCAGTGGGCAGCTATGCAAGCGCCCAGGAGCAATTAGGGATTAGATGTCTTGCTTAGGGACACCAGGACATGTGGGAATGGCTGGGGATTAGGCCTGTCACGATAACAAATTTTGCTGGGCGATTAATCGTCTCAGAAATTATTGCGATAAACGATAATATTGTTTGAAATTTAACAACAATTAATTGTCAAATTTAAGAAGAAATGTTGATTTGTTTGGAGTGTAGTACCTTTTTTGACCACCTAATGGCAGTATAAGACTGAACCAAAAGATGGATACCAAAAAAGTCCATGTTCAATAATCCAGGTATACAATCCAATAATTTTCAGTCAGGTCATCTGGACAGTTTCTTTTTTTTGTGTGTGCTGAAAAGTTTCCTTGAATGATGAAGACTTCTGGATGGAAAGTGAAACATTTCACCACACACAAAAAAAAAGAAACTGTCCAGATGACCTGACTGAAAATTGTTGGATTGTATACCTGGATTATTGAGCATGGACTTTGTTGGTTTTGAATCAGTTTGACATGACTGTCGACGAGGAAGAGGGCCGGCACCGGAATATGGGGCGTGCCAAAGAGAACACCTTAGCAACAACATAACTGGTTTGTTCCACTTTGAAGTAAGCTGTTGAGGGAAGAATCAGTTTTGTGTTGCGTTTCCTTGACTGATGAAGCCTTCTGGATGGAAGGTGAAACGTTTCAGAAAAACAAAAAGAAAAAGTAACTGTCCAGATGACCTGACTGAAAAATGTTGCAAAGGATGGATAGTTGAGCAGCGTGTCTCTTTAAGAAAAATGGGAGGGAGGGCCCTTGACGTAACATGGGCTGACATGGCGTATGCTCTGTGATTTGAGCTCTTTAGCATAACATTTCTCACACAAAGCTTTTAATAATAAAAATCAGTAAACAAGTTCTCAGCTTCTTTTTGCAGAGAAAAAACTTTTTAGACGAAGGCACGCGTTTCATCCATGAATTTTGGAGCTTCGACAAAACGGAGGTTTATTCCCGAGGTCGGCCTGTTAGCTTAGCTCGTAGCTTAGCTTCTTTTAACAATCCAAAAACGCGATTTTGGACGGTTAAAACAGATTTTAAAGAGAAAAGGAGGGGTCAGTGAAGAGTGCCAGAGTTGAGCTTTTTGTCATCCAGTGTCTTCAGTAGAAAGCGAAAAACACCAAGAAACGATAAAGCCGATAAATGAAAATGAGGTCGATAATTTTCATTCATCATGCGATTAATTGTTTAGCGCGACAGGCCTACTGGGGATCGAACCTGGGACTTTTGGGTCTCGAGTTGGCTGCCCTTTCTCTAGTGGGAAAGTTCTGATATGACTGGAAAAAAGTTTGTCGCTTATTACCAGTCAGGCACAGTAACTTCGGCGCCCAGTGGGTCCAGAAAGCCTCATGGAACCCACCGGGAACCGGAGCAGAACCGGACCTCCAGACCCATCGGTGAATCAGAAAGCTGCTAGCTGGCCCACGAGGACCTCCGAGCCGGGACGCGCCGCCGTAGGTCCGGCGCTCCCTCTGGAGCCCACCGGAACTTTTTTCATCCAGACTTGGACTCAATCGGACCACCTCCGGTCCCGCACCGGCCACCCGAATGTCCCTCAAAATGAGATGTGTCAAAATGGTACAATTCACTTTAGTATAAACATTTGATATCATTACTATGTTTCAGTTGAACTCAAATAGGAGTTTATGAGATATGCAAGTCGCTGCAGAGCTGAGGTTGTGCATCAACAATCAAACAGCTTGAATGAGTAGATGTGTCCGTACTTCTGAAAGGAAGTGTACATGAGGGTAAGTACCTGCAGATTGTGTGGCAGGGTGCTAAACTGAGCTCTGCAGCTGTGGGTCAGCCCCAGCGCTTCATCCTGGGCCTTTGGCTGCTCTGCCCAAGATAGGGAGAGCGGGGAGGTGAAGAGGACCCGAGTCTTCAAGCTCCAGTCTGCTGGATACTCCGTACAGCTGGGAGGAGTGATGGAGGAAGGGGCAATGCCCCCAGGGCTCTGGAAGAGAAAAAGAAAGTCTTTAAACAGTTTGAATTTAACTTGACTGATTTATCAACTTGTGTGAAGACGACAACAAAAAACAAACCTTGAGAAGCAGACTGGGAGCATCGTCTTCCTCTTTTTCCAGCAGAGCTTCATCTTCAGGGAGATGCTTCTACAAGAGATACTGACGCCATTAATGCAACGAATCTTTACACAGCGACTCTCCAATAATCACAGATTATAAAAGTGAGTTAGGTTAAGCTCAGCCTGAGGCAGGGAGCGGTGTGCGATGAAACTACTTTAATATTTCACGATACCGGATCCATACACGCCGAGACGTGGACAGAAGGACGACCAAACGTTGCCTGATATTTGAGAATCAGCTGTTTTTATTTTAGTAGCGTCTATCTGAAAACAGCTCCGCAAAATGGCCGGACACACCAGTCTTTCTCCTCATATTCATAAATCACAGATGAAGTCCTGCACAGAGCGTTAAGAAATGAAACGGGCAGAGCAGAACCAAAAGGAGCATGGAGCAGAACTCAACTGGGGTGAAGAGTGACGCATCAAATGATGGGACGTCTCCCTCCTGTCCTTCACTAAACTCACTTTTCATTCCTCTTTTTGTGGATCACTTTTTTTTTTAAACTAACTTCATAGTTGCTGGACATCACCACCAATATCCTCTTGGTAACAAACTGTTGTTTAATCCCACAAGCCGACAATCGCACACTATTCTCATCAGTTCATCACATTACTGAGCCACAGCTAGGCCCGTCACGGTGACAAACTTTGCGGGGCGATTAATTGTCTCCGCGATAAACAATAATATTGTTTGAAACTTGAAAATAATTAGTAATAATTGTCAAATTTAATAAGAAATGTTGGTTAATTCTTGTGTGTAGTACCCGTTTTGACCACTGGATGGCAGTATAAGACTGAACTGAAGGATTGACAGTGAGGAAGCTAGCAGCGTGTCTTTTTAAGACAAATGGTAGGGAGGCCCCTTGACGTGACATGGGCGGTCTCTCTTCAGTTCTCAATATGGCGGACACTGGGTGTGATTTGAGCTCTTTAGCATAGAATTTGTCACACAAATCTTTTAATAAAAATAATCAGTAAACAAGTTCTCGGCTTCTTTTTGCAGAGAAAAACAACTTTTTAGACAAAGGCACGGGTTTCAGCTGTAAATTTTGGAGCTTTGACAAGACGGAGGTTTTTTTCCCACGGTTGGCCTGTTAGCTTAGCTGCTTTTAACAATCCAAAAACACGATTTTGGACGGTTAAAACTAGGGGTGCACAGATAAATCTGCTGGCCCCGATTTCCTTAATTTTGAGAGATCGGAAATCAGCCGATACTTACACGAGAAACCGATTGTACCCATTTTTGTAGTTTTAACAACAATTGTCCAAACCATCCATCTTCTTCCACTTATCTGGGGTCGGGTCGCCGGGGTAGCAGCTTAAGTAGGGAGGCCCAGACTTCCCTCTCCTTAGCCACTTGGGCCAGCTGCTCCGGGGGAATCCCGAGGCGTTCCCAGGCCAGCCGAGAAACATAGTCCCTCAAGCGTCCTGGATCTTCCTCTGGGTCTCCTCCCGGTGGAAAGTGTCTGGAACACCTCACCAGGGAGGTGTCCAGGAGGCATCCTAACCAGATGCCCGAGCCACCTCAACTGGCTCCTCTCGACATGGAGAAGAAGCGGCTCTACTCTGAGTCCCTCCTGGATGACAGAGCTTCTCACCCTATCTCTAAGGGAGAGCCCAGACACCCTGCGGAGAAAACTCATTTTGGCCGCTTGTATCCGTGATCTCGTTTTTTTGGTCACAACCCAAAGCTCATCATGACCATAGATGAGGGTAGGGCTTTTGACTCAGCTCTCTCTTCACCACGACAGACCGGTGCAGCGACCGCTTTACTGCAGATGCCGCACCTGTCTGCCTATCGATCTCTCGCTCCATTTTTCCCTCATTCGTGAACAAGACCCTGAGATACTTGAACTCCTCCACTTGGGGCAGGACCTCCTCCCCGACCCGGAGAGGGCACTCTACCCTTTCCGGCTCAAGACCAAACAAACAAAATCGGAATCAGCAGTTCAGACTTTTTAGAAATCGGTGATCGGCCAGAAAACCGCAATCAGTGCACCCCTAGTTAAAACAGATTTTAAAGAGAAAAGAGAAAGGGAGGGGTCAGTGAAGATCACCAGAGTTGAGCTTTTTGTTATCCAGTGTCTTCAGTAAAAAGAGACAAGAAGAAACAATAAAGCCGATAAATGAAAACAATGTTGATAATTTTCATTTATCATGCGATTAATTGATTTATTGTTTATCGCGACAGGCTTAGCCACAGCACTGCAGCATTTTGGCTGGTCTTTCTCAGTACTACCTTGCTCAACGGCACAGAGGTGCACCAGAGGTGGGCTGTCTTCGACCCCTACTAACCGCCTTGGTGCGTCTTTAAAATAAATCAAGACGGCCAGAACGCACCTCCGTCCCAGACTGAGCCGTCTTGTGAAAGAGCCTGGTATCAGTCCAGATCAGCGTGGACCAAAGACAACGTTCTTATAAATCACAGAATTTCATCTGCCTCAAAATGAAGAATTAAATTCACCTGTTAGGAAATAAACGCCACAGACAAGCTCCTCAGAATCCAGCCTTTTCTGTTCATTGCTACGAATCACTTATTATATCCTAGATGTTTGTAATCAGTACACGGTGCCAGGAAGTTATACTCCTCTTTCCCACCCGTTTGTCCATCCAATCACATTTTCATTCTTTCAATTTCATTCATTCAGTCAAACTCATTCATGCAATGCAGGGTCGAACCATTTTTGTTGAAATGTGCGAAGACGCGAGTGTTGATGTATAAAACGCATGGTTTCCTGCCACCAGGGAGGTTTTGAAACGGACAGTCACGTGATCTTCTCTACACAGGTTCAAGACCAGGGAGTAAACGTATGTTTTGAAGTAAAGCTTTTAAGATGGTAAGTGAGGGAGTTTTGGACCTCCAGCTCCATCACATCTGAGCATGCATGCTTTGGAATCGAGATGATTCTTAGGGGTACATAACTGAGCCAAAATCAGCAAACCCCTCACACCAGCTGTCAAGCACAGCTGTGGAAGGGTGATGGTCTGGGCTTGTTTTACAGTGAACTCCTCTGTAGGCCAACAGGCTTAAAAGATAACGTGTGAGGACATCTGTCAAACAGCTGAAGTTTGGGTCGGATCATGAATGCAACAGAAGCAGATGGTCCTGAGTCTGGTTCCGCTGGAGGTTTCTTCCTGTTACGAGTTTTTCCTTTCCACTGTCGCCTTTGTGCTTACCTACCCTGCCTTAGATAAATAACGATGCTAATAGAGTTTTTCAAAGTTCATGCTCAATAATCTAGGTAGAAAATCCAACAAAGTTCTGTTAGGTCATCTGGACGGTTTCTTTTTTTTTTAGATGTTTCATCCAAAGGACTTCATCAGTCCGAGGAGCCACAAGCAAACTGAGTTCCACAAGCAGCACACCCCAGTGTTTCCCCTACCACTATACAAGCAGGGCACCCCACACTATCAACAGAGCCGTGCGCACTCTCCCACCCCCCAGTCGGCACTGACGTAACGCTAAGCTAGCGGCTCACAACACAGGTGCGCTAGCTCTGAAATCCCACCCTCCCAAACAGCGTGCAGCTCAGATCTGTCTCCCCCCCACTATAAAACTGTCATTATAAGCAGCGCACTGCGCAGCTCAGGACGTCTCTCCATCCGTTCATAACACCCCCCCCACACACACACACACAAATCACAGACGAGATGAGCGCCCCGCCATGGCAAGTTATCTAGGAGAAACACTGCGCCCACATAGACCAACCAGTTTGCTGGTGATAAGATGGTTTCTGGGGCCCGCCCTCTCCCCCGTCATTCCTCTCAGGCAGCCATAGCCACTTCGACTGTTGGTCAAACTGGTTGGTCCACTATGAGTGAGCTGCTTGTGTTTGTTTGTGGCTCCTCGGACTGATGAAGTCCTTTGGATGAAGGGCAAAACGTCTCAACAAAAAAAAAAAAAAAAAAAAACGTCCAGATGACCTTTGTTGGATCAGCTGTTTTTAATTTTCACCCATTTATGAAAGGAATTGGTTTAGAACCTGAAAGACTGGATTATTTAGTTATGTCAGCTCTAGAACTGAAGGTGGACTTTATTTGACTATGACAACAGAAACAATCATGGAGTTGAGCTGAGGACGCCATCTTTTTGTTTTACAGCAGCTTTATAGTCGAGCTTGTAACTTTTGAGACACTTTAAATAAAGCTTTTGACAACAAAATACGACATATTGAATCCATATTATTCGTCTTACCTCCATCAAACCGTCACCACATGCTGACCCTTCCTTAGCTGTCGTGACGTCATTTCCGCCTTTTTCTGCCCATTCTGTGTGGATGGGGCCGCCGTTTCCACCGTGCTCGTCGTAAATAAAAAGCTTCTTTTGGGGGCTGTACGTGTTTTCAATCGTTGCAAAGGGATTTCTGCGTTTTAGTCCAGGTCTGGAGGGGTTCTGGTCCTTAAACAGCGGCCCTGGAGAGAAAGGTCGCGTGCCTGCTACGGATGACCTACTTTGTCCCGGACTCTCGGTGCTTCCAGACGAGTCGCTTCGAGCTCTTTTCCGCCTCAGTCGCATGATTTCTGTCGGCAGCTTGAAGCTGGGCGAGTAACCAGCCTGCTGGGCCATGGCAAACACTTGAAACCGCTTCAAAAACGCGTCAGTTTAAAGAGAAAAGTGCAGCGACTGACGCTCGTTGTGCTCTTCACGAAGTATGAATTTACCGCGTCTGCTTCTTCTTCTACGGAAAATTACAAAAATCATTTTTACAGCGTTCATTTACCGCCCCCTGCTGGTCAGACTGTGGAAGTGTGGATGTACGTTTATACAATATTAGAATGTTTGAATTATGAATATAAAAAAATAAATACTTGTGTTTAGTTTGAAAAAAATAAATAACGTTTCACATATTTGTCAAATTAGACTAAATTGGACTAAATTAGATGGATGTACACTTGACAAACCAGACATGTCGCATTGATTGTTTAGAATGAGTTATACACTTAAAATAATTAGCAGGTTTGTCTGTTTATCACTGGTTTAAAAAATAGTTTACACATTAATCCAACAGTTTTCAGTCAGGTCATCTGGACAGTTTCTTTTCTTTTTTTTCTGAAACGTTTCACCTTCCATCCAGAGGGCTTCATCAGTCAAGGAAACACACAACACAAAACTGATTCTTCCCCCAACAGCTTACTCCAAAGTGGAACAAACCAGTTATGTTGGTGCTAAGATGGTGTCTTTGGCACGCTCCCTCCTCCGGTGCCGGTCCTCTTCCTTGTCGACAGTCGTGTCAAACTGGTTCAAAACCAACAAAGTCCATGCTCAATAATCCAGGTATACAATCCAACAGTTTTCAGTCAGGTCAACTGGACGGTTTCTTTTTTTTTTTCAGCACAAAAAAAAGAAAAGAAACTGTGTAGATGACCTGACCGAAAATTGTTGGATTGTATACCTGGATTATTGAGCATGGACTTTGTTGGTTTACACATTAATCTTACTTTTTACTTTGTACCCTTATTGCATGCTTTAGTATTTCTTGTTTGTTTGTTTTTAGCGAGTCAAATCGGTTCTTCTCATCCTGAGCTTTTCATTGTACTGTTAACCTTGCGTTAACCTTGAATATCACAAATAAACACAACTTGAACTTGAACTTACTCGTTGCTGCCGTTGTAGAACACTGGATTGCTACAAAATATTGTTATATTGCCATAAGCACTTAGCTTGAAGCTCAGACTGCAGGTTTACTTGTGGTTCCTAGAGTTTACAAAAGCAGAATGGGAGGAAGATCTTTATCAGGCTCCTCTCTTGTGGAACCAACTTCCAATTTCTGTCCATGAAGCTGACACATTGTCCAGTTTTAAGACTAGACAAGACTTTCCTTTTTGATAAATCCTATAGTTAGGGTTGGCTTGCCATAGACTTAGACTACTCGAGGACAAATTGACATCATTTCTTAAAATGAATAGTTACAATTGAATACATATGAATAGTTTGCATTTGAAATTATTTCTATCTTAACATGTGATTCTCAACCTGCCATTGTGTATCTGTTTGTCCTTCCTGTTCCTCTCAAACCCAGCTGGTCGAAGCAGATGGCCGCTTGTCCTGAGCGTCCTGGTTTCTTCCTCATGAGGGAGTTTATCCTTTCCATTGTTGCCTTCATGCTCGCTCAGTCGCTCGGTTGGATGGATGGGTTGGTTGATTGATTGGTTGGTTGGATGGGTGGATGAATGGATGGATTAGTTGGTTGGTTGATTGATTGGATGGATGGATTAGTCGGTTGGTTGGTTGGATGGATTAGTCAGTTGGTTGGTTTGTTGGTTAGTTGGTTGGTTGATTGGTTGGATGGGTGGATGAATGGATGGATTAGTTGGTTGGTTGATTGATTGGATGGATTATTCAGTTGGTTGGTTGGATGGATTAGTCGGTTGGTTGGTTGGATGGATTGGTTGGTTAGTTGGTTGATTGATTGATTGGATGGATTAGTTGGTTGGTTGATTGATTGGTTGGTTGGTTGATTGATTGGTTGGTTGGATGGATTGGTTGGTTTGTTGGTTAATTGGTTGGTTGATTGATTGGATGGATTAGTTGGTTGGTTGATTCATTGATTGGTTGGTTGGATGGATTGGTTGGTTGGTTGGTTAGTTGGTTGGTTGATTGATTGGATGGATTAGTTGGTTGGTTGGTTGATTGGTTGGTTGGTTGGTTGGATGGATGGATGAATGTTAAACTGTATTAGTTGAGCCAAATGTTTTTGTCCCATTTATCCTGACAGAACTGAATCAGGTTTGTAGGCCACCTTTTCAGCTCTGACCAGTTTTCCTCTGGAGATCGAGATCAGGACTTTATGACACTCCTAAACTTTGATTTAGGCTTAGAGTCATTGTCCATTTGAAGACCCATTTGTGATCAAGCTTTAACTTCCAGACTGATGTCTTGAGATGTTGCTTCAATATTTCCACATAATGTTCTTTCCTCCTGATACCATGTAGTTTGTAAAGAGCACCAGTCTCTCCTGCAGCAAAACATGTCTCTTGTAAACGAGTCAAGGCTCAATGGGATTAGCCTGTCTAAATAAAGGTTGAATGAATCCCCACAGCATGATGCTGCCACCCCCATACTTCAGTTAGGGGGGTGTTATCAGGCTTGAAAGCGATACCCTTTTTCCTCCAAATGTAACGATGGTCATTATGGCCAAACAGTTCAATTTTAGTTTCATCAGACCACTGGACGTCTCCGGAACGTTAAGACCTTTGACCCTGTCTGCATGTACAAACTGTAACATGGCCTTTTTATGTTGCTTTTGGAGGAATGTTTACTTCCGAACTGAGTGTCCTTTCAGCCCATGTTGGTCCAGGACTCGTTTTACCGTGGATAATACTCTCTGACAAGCTTCTTCTCCTTCATAAGCTCTTTAGCTGTTGTTTGGGGTTAATACTCACATTTCACACCAAAACATGTTCATCCCGGGAGACACACAGAACCCATCTTCATTCTGAGCTGTATGACGGCAGGATGTTCCCATGCTGTTCCCATTTCTAGAATTGCGCCGCTCAAGGTGGCTGCATGTTGGAGCAGGTGTTACATTCATTCTGATTTACTGTTTTTGAAAACCTTAATTCCTCTTTTTTTCTGGACGTATAGCGCTTTTTTATGATGATGATTTACTCTGGTATCGGATGCTGTGCAGCTGGAAGGATTTTTATTGAAACCTTTTTACTTTTGGACATTTGTTATGATGTGTAACCATGGCAACAATGTGATTTTTTTTTTTTAAACAACAAGGAGCAGCTGCTTAACATCTCAAAAGCTCAAATATCTCATCTACAGCCCCAAATCCCACGAGTTGAAAAGGAGGTGCCGTGGACAAATTCCCGTCAACCTGGCAGCGGTGCTCCAGTACCTGACCACTGAGATCCTGGAGCTGGTGAGAAACTCGACTCGTGAGGAGCTCTGCACACTGCTAGGAGGAGTGACCATCACTCAGGGAGGAATTCTGTCTGGCATTCGGGCAATCCTGCTGCCCAGGAGGACCTAGAGGCCCGCCGGATCTGACAACAAGCTGGATCTGGGTGGACAGATCGGTATCTGTGGCCAGATTCTTCGACTTCACTGCAGGAGATCCTTCCTGCCCACAGCTATCAGCATCTATAACAACTCTTGAATGAAACCAGGACGATGAGCTACGACAACACTTAATTTCCCTCTGGGATTAATAAAGTATTTTTGAATTTGAACTTGAACTGAATGTTGTATATTTGTGTATAATTGTGTAAACAGTATTATAGCACCTTCAGGCATCTGGAAATTGTACCCAGTTTTGGAGAAAGACAATTCCATTTTCTGTATGTAAACTAGTAATTTTGAAGAAATTAATAGAAGAAATATTCAGGGATTTAGTACGGTAAATAGAATTCCCAGAGCTTTTGTCCGTTTTTTTGTCGGATAGTGAGGAAAAAAAATGGTTATGTGTCTTTTTATGATGAATGGAAACACCTGGTTTCAATTGTTTGACATTTTTAATCATTACTGTAATTATTCACAACTACTAGTTCTGTTACATGATCAAACCATCTAAACATTTCTCCTGAAAAGACAAATAACAAAGCGTTAAATTAATTTTCTCATTGATCAATATGCATACATTACTTGTGAACATTACTTTCAACATATCTTAAAGATCTCACAGTTTCAAAATGGGAATTTCTTTCCTTGGAGGAAAGAATGTACTGTATCTTGTGGATACCTGAAGAATCTTCCGGTCCAAAGTGGCATCATTGTCCAAGGCATTTGGCAGAGAAAGCATGGTGGTAAGTCACAAGATAAAGGTTAGCTTCATGCTACCATGCTAGTCATAATTTGTTGCCAACAGCTGAAGCCTGGTGAGATAGTAGCGTAAAAACCTTGAGTCGCACCAAAATATTGACAAAAGTGTAAAGGGAGACAAGACACAAGGGTATAAACAAGTATAAAAATGTCTTGCAAATGTTGCAACAATGCCATGCAAGAGTTGTGTGTATCCATGAGGAATTTTAGCCCAAATTTTGAGGGGAGTTTATGCAGCAGTAGTGCAACATACACAATAGTGTCATAAGCAACCAATTCAGTGCAATTCCAATACGTAATTGTCCCTAAATCTGAGTGAGAGAGTGAATGGTTGTTTGTCTCATTTGTCTCCATGTGTCCCTTTGATGGACTTACGACCTGTCCAGGGTCTACCCCGCCTCTTGCACAGTGACTCCTGGATATGGGCACCAGTGACCCCAACGACCCAAATGGATGTGGATAAAAGATAATGGACGGATGCAGTGGTGTAGTCTACATTTTTGTAGTGGATATACTACGCTTAGAAACCAATGTACACTGGTTAGTACATCGTCAATTGATTTTGATTTTTAAGCATATTGAACATTTACAAATTTCTCTGATCCTCATTTGAATAAATGTATATCAATCTTTGTACAACAGTTGGCTTTGTATTAAAAACATGTTATAGAATTTATCAAAGCAAAACATGTTCAAGTATTAGTAAGTACAGAAATATACAATAATTCGCAGGATAAGCGGATGTAATAAACAAGTGCTGAATACCGATAGATTGTTACGGAAGCATTTAACTTCTGTTTAACGTATCAATGACACGTGCCCAATGATACGCCATGTATCATTGGGCACTTTTAAGTGGTCATATTGAAATTAATAAGCTTTTGTAGTGGATATACTCCGTATACCCGCGTATTGTATAGACTACACCACTGGATGGATGTATTTTCCCGATAGTTTGTGTCAACTAGTCACGATCAGTCAACCCCTCTTGTTTATTTCCTTGTTCTGCTGTATGTTAATATATTTATGTACATTCTTTCCGTTTGTCCACTCGTGCTTTTATTTGATTGGTTTTGCAACGTTCAGATAGGCTAACTCTGTCTCGCTCTTGGCAGGGCAGGTGCTGGTGAACTCCTGTCTCTGATAGGCACAGTTCAGGTATCTCCACACTCCTGTCATCTCTGCGGGGATCTCAAAGCCACAATACTTCTTGGCTACAACCTAGGGAAAAAAGTTGCGTATAAATTGATATGCAAGTTCTAGCTGTGTACATGATTCCTACTGAATATTTGATGACCGTACCTTCAGTATGTGTAGCTTAGGTAGCAGGTTACAATCTGCCAGAGTGAGATCAGGCCCATCCAGGAAACTCCTGGAGGACTCGGGAAGGTCTCCTGAGGCATCAGCATCAATCTCTTCTGACAGAAGAGTCCTCAGGAAGTTGTCAAGGTGCCAAAGAGACTTCACCAAGGCTTTCTCCAAGGCTGAGGTCACGAATGGACAAACATATGTTCTGAATTAGATTGGTTCATCTTCAGTACCTTGGAAATATCTTCATACCCTTTGACCTTTTCCACGTTTCGTCACAACCACAAACTGAAAATTATGTGATAGACCAACACAAAAGTCAATAAAAATAAAATATGTGATTTTTATGTTATATCAAAAAAAATCTGAAAAGCGGAATGTTAATTTTGTATTCCCACTGTCACAACACCCCTGTACTCTGATGCACCTTATTAAAATACAGGGCAACCAATTGCCTTCAGAAGGCACCTAATACATAGAGTATTGGACTGCCTGTTTGTAATTTCATCTCAGTATAAACCCAGCTATTCAACATTATAGATTCAAACAGCATCATGAAGACCAAGGAACACACGAGACAAGCAAGGGATAAAGTTGTTGAGAAGTGTAAAGCAAGTTTAGATAATAAAACAATATCCCAAGTTTTGAGCATCTCACAGAACACTGTTCAATCCATCATCAAAAAGTGGAAGTACGTGGATCGTACCTCTGTATAACAGAAAACAAAGATACTTCGATCTTTGATACTTTCTTACCATCGTTGGTATCTTTCCTTTGGTTTTTGATGTAAGCTGAGAACTTGGCAAAGATGTCGATTCCAGCTGTGTTAGCTTCACGATGTTTGGGAGCTAGCCTGGGAAAGCTATTGTTGAGGGAATATGACAGAAAATAGAATAATAAACATAGTGCTTTTAAAATTTGATGTAATAATTTAAGCATGACCACTTGATCCAGTTTGTTTAAACTACTGTATTTCTAAGATGAACCATTGCACGATACTTTAACTACAGTCGTGAGAAAAAGGAAAGTTCAGCCTAGGCCTGTCGCGATAAACAATAAATCAATTAATCGCATGATCAATGAAAATTATCGACCTCACTTTCATTTATCGGCTTTATCGTTTCTTCGTGTCTCTCTTTCTACTCAAGACACTGGATGACAAAAAGCGCAACTCCGGTGCTCTTCACTGGCCCCTCCCTTTCTCTTTAAAATCTGTTTTAACCGTCCAAAATCGAGTTTTTGGATCGTTAAAAGCAGCTGAGAAGCTAAGCTAACAGGTCGACCTCGGGGAAAAAACCTCCGTCTTGTCGAAGCTCCAAAATTCACGGTTGAAACCTGTGCCTTCGTGTAAAAGGTTTTTCTCTGCAAAAAGAAGCTGAGAACTTGTTTATTGATGTTTTAATTAAAATCTTTGTGTGAAAAAGTGCTATGCTAAAGAGCTCAAATCACACCGAGTGTCCACCATTTTGAGAACCAAAATGAGACAGCCCATGTCACGTCAAGGGGCCTCCCTCCCATTTTTCTTAAAGAGACATGCTGTTCGCTCCCTCACTATCCATCCTTAGGTTCAAACAGTCTTATACTGCCATCCAGTGGTTAAAAAAAAGGTACAAAGAAAATACAAAGAAAATAAAACATTTCTTCTTAAGTTTGACAATAATTACTAATTATTGTCAAATTTCAAGCAATATAATCGTTTATCACAATAATTTCTGAGACAATTAATCACCCAGCAAAATATGTTATCATGACAGGCCTAGTTCAGCCTCTTTCAAGTTTAGAGTTTTACGTATCAGTAAATAATGTAAATTGCTAAATTTTTGTTTCTAATTTTATTCAAATCTAACATTAAATGTAAAACAAAACTCAAACAACTGAGTCCAATATGTTAATTTGTCTTTATAACTTTCAGAACAATTTATTTTGGACAGATGAGACCAGAGATGCTTACCCATAATGCAAAGTGCCACATTTAGAGAAAATCAAATAGAAGTGGTGAGTGATCCTGCAAAATTGGGTATCAATCCAATACCAAGTAAACAAAACCAGTATCGCCAATATTAAATATTTTTCTGTGTGGAATTTACATGTTCTCCCCATACATGTGTGAATTTTCTTCTGGTGCACCGGTTTCCTTCCAAAAATCAAAAACATGCATGTTACGTTCACTGACATCTCGTAAGTTATCTCTAGGTGTGGGTGAGAGAGTGAATGGTTGTTGGTCTCCATGTGTGCTTTGACTGTGACTCTTTGAGGTTGGCACGAGCTTCCGACAACCCAGAAAGGAGAATCAGGTCAAAAGTAAATAATAACTGGATGGATGAATAAATGGACTATGACATGGCTGATGTTTTCCTTTCTAGTGTTAACTGATTAATTTGAAACTTGAAACATAGTTGGATTTCAAGCAAAGTTTCTAGTCAAAATAAAAAGAATAAACTCAAGATAAAGCATTTTCTGTAAAAACACATTTTCTGGAATGTTAAATAACTGCTAACATTTGCTGAAGTATCTAAAACTGAGTTGATAAAACAGGCAGAACATGAGCAAAAATAGGCCAAATGCTAATAAAAAATGGGAAGATAGTACCTAAAAGTACAGAATTACCGTATTTGCCGCCGTTCACGTCGCTCCGCCCTATAAGTCGCTCCGCCCTATAAGTCGCTCCGCCCTATAAGTCGCATCAGTCCATATTTGTCTAATAAAGTGGAAAAATCCATAACTATGTCGCTTCGCCATATACGTCGCATCTATTTTGAGTCACTGCTGACGCGTCATGTTTGTTACGCGTCACCGCTGACAACCCAGAAATGTGGGCCGAACCTGGAAACGTGGGCCAGTGTTGTGTCAAAAATCGATTGGCTGCCAAATGGCAGGAGTGGGATCGTGCACGGGAGGACTTTAAACACAAATTTAACAAGATTAACACTTAAAAACTATTGTTTGTTTGCTCGAAATTATAGTAAATGTGTGTCTCAGTCTAACGTTTGCTTAATAAATGCACTTCAAAGGTCAAATATGCTGTATTTCAAAAGCTGATACGCGGAAGTAAATGCGTGTACGCGACGAGTCGCTGTGCAAATTTAACAAGATAAACGCCTAAAACAATTATTTGTTTGCTCGAAATTATAGCAAAGCTGCGTCTCAGTCCAACATTTGCTTAAAAAATGCACTTTAATGGTCAAATCAGCTGCATTTCGCTGGGGCGGTGCAGCTGGTCTGAAGGTTCCAAGCAACGAGCAAGACAAAGGTAGGGGTACTATGGCAAGCCGATTGTGTCATTAATAGCTGGTGAAGATTCTCAGTCATCCAGGACATGGTAAATTCAAAAAAGTTCAAGAAAAAAAAACAATAAATAAAGTATAATAAATAAAGTCCAGTTGTTTTTGTCTTGAACTGTTTTGAATTTGTCATTATAGCCACGTTTACCTATTACATGATTCAACGGTATGCCATACTGCTACTACTACTCTGCTTCCATCTAGTGGTTGAATGTGGTACTGTTTTTTTCAGTCAGAATGAATAAAAACAGTCATATCTCAGCTAAAAATGGTTTATAAATATGGGAAAAAATACATAAATATGTCGCACTGGCCTATAAGTCGCAGGGCATGTAAATTACGCAAAAAAGTGCGACTTATAGGGAGGAAAATACGGTCGCTACAAAATAGCAGAACACTAGCTAGAAGCTGAAAATATCAAAAGACTGAATGCCGATGAAAAGCAGCAAAACATTACTTCAAACCTAAAAGGAGTAAGATGCTAATTAAAAGAAGCATAATGCTAGTCAGTTGTTAAGCATAGCAAAATAGTAGCTAAAAGCTAAAAGATGCATAGTTATAGGCAAAATACCAAAATGCTAGGAGAAGCTAAATGTAGCAAAATGCAAACTAAATTTTGGAAAGTGCTAGCTAGAAGAAAATACATAAAATATTAGCAAACATAAACGGTTAAAAATGTTCTCCTGCTGTCGAGTGTGGTTCCTTTAGAGCAATTAAGATGAAGCGAGAATATTTCTCTTCAACAGAGACAAACTAAAACATTACTCCCATCATGCTAAAATCAATAGCATTGGTACACAACACCTCATACCAACTGTCTACCAAGGAAGTAAAGTCAAGCAGATAAAGTCCGTATCCTTTGATTATGTCCTGATAGAAATAAAAATAAAAAATTGTTTTTTTTTCCTTCTTCTCGTGATTACATCATCAAAATGGCTGGCACATTTGACAATATAACATACATCGATCAATTTGGCCTCATTTAGTCAACTTGCACTGATGAATGTGTGTACCGTGGTGGTGTTAGTCTCTCCTCGAGGAACTCCTCTATCTTATTGACATCGACCTTGACCTCGCCATTAAACGTCATGAAGGGAGGATTGGTTCCAGGAGCCAGGTCCTTCAAATCAGCTGGTTTTCTGGTAAACCAAAGTTTGAACACATCTGGTTACTGCGGTAAACAACGTCAAGAACATTACATTTACGCTTCATTCGTCGTTCATTGAATGTTCTCAGAACGTCCGTTTTCTGGACACGTCGTACCGTTTGAGGTCGACTGTTGTGACGCTAAAGGTGACTCCTTTCAGCAGTAAGATCATAAAGAGTCTCTGAGAGAACGGACAGTTGCCGATGCTCTCCCCATCACTTCCTGCCTGGATATACACAAATGAACAAAACAGAAAAATTACTCAAACAATTTAAAATTCCATACAAGCAAATGCACTAAGTAGTTAGTCAAACAGTTAGTATTAACCCCTCAGGTCCTATTGGGATAAAACTTCTCTGGTTCCATGCAGTCCTGGTGAAGATTGGCTAGAGATGAACCCTATTTTACCATGAAAGACAACTTTACACAGTAAAACATTCTAAAAAAATTTTAAGTTAGCATAAACCGCAGGTGTAGCCATGAGATTAAACTTCGAAAATGATATGGGGTGATTTTATGTAACATGTGGGATGGCTCAAGTACTACCACTCCATAGTTTAGCTCAGTATTTTTTAAATGTTTGTGTTTGCTAAGGTCAACTTCCAATAGTCAATTTGGCAATTTTTAACTAAAACAGTTGGTGTAGTAATACCAGAGTCATCACAATGGTGAAAAGAAAACCATCTGAAATCTCACAATATCCATCGAGTATTACATTATTTTTAAGATTCTGCCAAAAGGCTGAGACGTGATCATTTCAATACAAAAGATGATTGTTTTAATGGCTGCTACAAAAGACAATGGGCAAAATACGTTCCTCCGAGGAAAGATACCGTATTTTCTGGCGTATAAGTCGCTTCGGCATATAAGTCACATTTATTATGCGTCACCGCTGACCCGTCGTGTTTATTACGAGTTTATTTAATGGTCAAAACAGCTTTATTTCGCCTGGGCGGTCTATTGTGGCCGGATGCTGGAAAATACGGTATTTATTTTCTTTTTTTTCTCATATGGTAAATGGACAGTATTTATATAGCACCTTTCTATCTTTCCTAGATACTCAAAGCGCTTTACAACACAATCTGTGCCCTCATTTACCCATTTATACGGCACTCTATTAGATCTATACAAAGAATAATCAGTGCTTTATCACATTCATACAACGGTGAGACGTACATCGGATGCAATGAGGCGTTCAGTGTCTTGCCCAGGGACACTTTGACGTGTGACTGCTGGTGGAATCGACCCCCCAAATCTTGCATTGGAAGATTACTGCTCTAACCTGCTGACTGCTTTCTATATGGCAGTTTTGTTAATAAATAAATACATTAATTAATTAATTAATTAAACTTTTTATAATCTTCAGCTTGTCTGCATTTGAGTCCTCTTATCCACCCATTTACGGCACATATCTTTGGTCTTAACACATTGTTTAAGTAAGTGTTAAGACGCATTGTCTTAAAACTCCAGTGCCTCTGGAGTGTCCTTGGACACGCTCACCGCTCTTGTCGTCTCCCCTCCCCTGCGGACTGTCTGCGTCACTATGTGCCCATGTGTGGGGTGTTTTTTTTCAATCTCAGGCTCTCTCTCCTCGGCCGAGTTTGATAGGATTTTTTTTTGTTGTTTTTGCCTCCAAATCCTATACATGTGTCACTTTCATTACTTTTTGTCTGTCTAAACAGGTCTCCCTTGTAAATGAGTCTTCAAGGCTCTAAATTAAGGTTGGATGAAATGTGGCAAAAAAGCACAAAGTGTCAAAAACACACCTTTTCAAACCGTTGTACACCACAGGATCAGAGGGGCTGGCAAGAAGGAAGGCTCAGTTTATTTAGATTTATCCTTCATCAGTCAAAGCTAATAAACACGTTTTAACCTTTAACTAGATGAATCTGGGCTCCTTTTGGTGTAGATTTCAAGCAGTTATACTACTGTACATAGTGTAAATACAGTAAGTCATGATAGGTGAGTTTGTGTTGAATTCACTCCTGTAGTAAGAGCTCTCAGCACCAAAGAACAGGCTAATCAGCTTAAATAGTGAGAATGTAGAGATTAACTCTGTATGCTACTGGTGACAGAATACCACAGGCACACTACTGAGACCTGAGGGTTCTCAACAAGTCCAACAACAAAACCACAAACAGTCAAATTTAGTTTATGCCCATTTTGGCATAATTGTGGTCATTGTATTTTAACCAAGTAGTTCAATTCACACATATATTTAAAGTTTGGTCTTCTGTCTCAGTTTAAGTAAAGAACCTCTGGGACCCTGTGTACACAATTTCGTTCCACCTCATGTACCACATGAGATGCGAATAACGACAATAAAGAACCTTGATCTTGAAAACCACTGATCTGTTTGAGGACCCCGTAGAACTCAAACTTTATTCCCAAATCTTCCCATCTACATTCATCTGGTATACCAACTGGGACCTGGACAAAGGAAACCATTGTTAGAATGTGAGGTATTGCACACCACAAGCTTAGTGCATGAGTGAATGAGAGTCTGAGGTGGGGCTCAGATATTGAATGGTTTTGTTGGAGTTAAACCACTTTTGTAAGGTCCTTTTTTTATTCATGGCCCAGTTTAGAATGTGATGCTGAACCAAAGAGCAGAATGAGCCTCTCTGTGTTGATGAGTCACTTAATTCTAGTTTAGTTAAGTTTATATGAAGGGTAGTGTTGTGGTACTCGAGACCAGTCTTGGTCTCAAGACCACTTTTTGATGGTCTTGGTCTTGTCTCGGACTCGACCGCATTTGGTCTCGGTCTTGTCTCGGTCTCAGACATTGAGGACTCTGATTTTTATTTCAAGACCAGTCAAGACCACAAGTGTGGAAATATCACTAAATTGCCAGAATATTGTCCAGTTTATTTGTGAACATCTTTGTTTTTATTGGATGCAAAATGTCCTGATTCAAATCCAAGCGATAACGTGACTCATTACTAAATACATGTTTTTGTTACCGCTGTCATGCCCACCCACTTTTATTCGCATGTGGTTCTGTACCAACAGAACAATACAGACAACAGAACGTAATGTATCAATAAGGAGTGAAAGTAAGCCGATACGGATAATCTGTGAAAAGATTGAGCTCCAAGACTTGAGGTCTTGGTCTCGACTTGGTCTCGGACCCCAAAAGTCTTGGTCTTACTGTATCTCGGTACACTCTGATATTGGTCTTGACTCGGTGTTGGGTTAGGTGGTCTTGACTACAACACTAATAAAAGGACCCATGGATTGAAAACATACAAGAAAACACAATTTGCTAGATTTAGACACTTGAGGTCCTTGTAGCCATTTTAGTCCCTGGCAGGTAACACAAAGTACATGTGAAACACCAACCAAAACCGTCCTTTTCTTCTTTCTGCATATCCTTCTTCACTACATTCATAAACTTTCTCTCTAATATTCCTCGTTTCCTCCTTCCTGGCAGCTCCATGTTGAACGTTCTTTGTCCAGTATGTCCACTGTGTCTCTTCTGCACATGTCCAAAGCATTTCAGCCTCTAACCAGGTCTCCAAACTGCTCAACTTGAGCTGTCTCTCTAACATAAATTGTTAAGTAGACTACTCACGTATAGAAAAACGACAGAGCCTCTGTCCTCCTTATACATCTTGTAATATACATCATATTATATGGTATTTGTTTATGCTTTGTCTTATAATAAATGTTTGCTATAACAATAATTTGCTGTAAGGGATTAACAAAGGACCTATTTTATCTGAGCATGTCCATTTTAGATTCTATCAAAGGTTGTTTTTTTTCTCTCCATCAAATGGCTGCCATTCAGAAGCTAAAGCTTGCTCAGTGCCAGCTTTTCCTATTTTATCACCATAGGCTCTGGTCTAGCGCTAGCCCCTGGTCTATCACTGGAATATTTTTAGTGGCAAAACCACTGTATGAGAAACTCAACATCATCTTTGCCATCTCCGGCTCTGCCTCGTGACTTTTTGTTAAAGGCACAGCATCACTGTATCAGTGTACGTATGTAACACCTTTGTACTCTTCCACCTTCAGTACTGCTCCTAGTAACGTCACCGTAAGTCTTTATCTGTCTCATTCACACTCGGATTCTATTCTGCTTCTACTGACTCTCATTCCTCTTCTCTCCAGAACATACACCTCTCCAAATTCTCTTCCACCTGCTTCATATTCTCATTAGAGATTACAATGTCATCTGCAAACATCATACTGTAATTCAGAGTGTCCTGTCTGTCCTATCTGTCAACCTATCCGTTACTACTGCAAACAAGAGTCTTAGACCTGATCCCTGATATAATCCCGCTTTTAATTTGAAACCATACCCTCCTACTAGACATCTCATCATAGCCTTTGTACATATACTGCACAACCCTTGTATACTTCTCTACCACAGTTAGAATGCCAAAGATGCCTGTTGAATGATAGAGATTATTGTGATTCTGTGAGATATATATATATATATATACTTTTTTTTTTACTGTTGTAATGTATGCTTTTCTATAAGCTTTTGAGTAATAATGAAGAATGTACAACTTTTAAATTATTCAGTTCCATACCTAGAAAGTTACTTGTTGAAATGTGGTACCACTCTTCATGGGACACATAGCTATAGTCAATCATTAAAAGTTAAGTCTATAAATATTCACACTGTGAAAATATAAATCAAAATGAATAAAATCCTGAACATTAAGAGATAGAAGTTTGTTAGAAAAGTTTTGGAAAGTTTAGTCAAAAGTTAGTGTGACGTTATTCTTTTACAATGAAAGCGCTTGAGAATGTGTTTTTTTTTTTACATTAGCTGCTTTTGAACAAACTATACATCGCTTTGTTGAATGTAAATAAGCTCATAAGTAGGTAGGAAAGAATATACCGGTATTGTTCAGACAGTAAGTATGGTATGGTAAGTATGGTTTTGCTTTGTAAAGTTGAAGAATGTTGATTTTGTCCAAAGGAGTCAAGGAAAATATATAAATCTGATTAAGAAGGTGGTATAAAATAGTTTTGCAAACTACAGTAAAATGTACCTTTTGCCCTTTGACTACAGATAGTAATTGACGTTAGTGTGTGGATAAGTGACCGTAGACGGTAGGTGAAACCTCACCTTGATCTGCTTTCCAGATCCTATTAGTGGGTCTTTTGTAGTGTTCTAATCCAACAGGCATGTCTACAATATATCAAGCATGCAGTTCCAAAGGTTGCAGCAGAGCACTTGAAACTGACTGAACAGTTTTATACAGTGTTGTTGGTACTTCCTGTTTAGCTTCTATGATACAGGAAATCCTAAACTGTAGATGGTAAAAGAGCCTGATGGTGACGTGTGACAATTTTTGTGTCTACAATGTTTCATGTAGGAGATACAATTTTAAGACCCTTCATGTCGGTTGTGATGAGCATTGACCTTGGATAAACAAAGGAAGTCAATAAAAGCTTGAATGTGTACACTTTGCATTTTGTGATTCAAGAAAAGAAAAAAAACATAATTCCCATAGAAAAGACATGCTGAATAAAAGAAAACACAAATGGCAATGTTTTAAACCCTGCAAGAAATGGAAAGATTGCCTAAAATACAAAGAATTTCCAAAAAAAAAAAAAAAAAAAAAAAAGGAAAAGGCTATTCATGAAACTGTACATTTGATAAAAAAAATAATATATACAACTTCTACGCAAAAATCTACTTCATAATGGTCAAACCATTATGTTATCCATTTATGGTACTATTCTATGACCCTTATAGCTTTACCAATGAGATGTTGGGGTAACAGTGTTTTATGTGTTTGAAGTGCAGTGTTATGTAGGGTTATTCACCTTCACATAGAGTGATATCTTGTAGTTCTGATCTTGAAGTGTCTTGCTGTCTCGGAGCTCAGTGGACAATGGACTCTGTGAGAACAGCTGGACCTCCTCCCTTGTCTCTGGGACCACCTCCTCCCGTTGGGGTACGTATGAGTGGCCATCTTCCAATAGCACAACTCGCTTTTTCTTTACTTTCTCATCTTTTCTTTTGGGCAAAGACTCGTCTTTCATCACAGACTTCAGCTCCTTTAACCAGTCTTCCTTGGCGTTTTCTTCTGCTGGCGGTTCTTTCTTGATCCGTTCGTTAGCTCTCCTCTCAGTCTCCCAAACGTCCTTTCTAACAGGTCGGAGTTCTTTTCTCCACTCTTTCGTCTCTTGCGCTACCCCTTCTTCGTCTTGGTCTTTTTTAATCCACGCATTGTCTTTTCTCTTGAGCGACAACACTTTTGATTTCCCCAATCCTTTTCCAGACGCTTGTGGTGGCAGAGACAACGTCCCATGTTCCATTACTTGCTTCAGTTCTTTAACTTTTCTTTTTCCTCTATTTTCGCCATTGTCCGCATCTGTGCCTTCGTTTCTACTTTGCTTAATGTTTCCTTTGTTCCTTTTTTCAAACTGTTGTTCCTCAACCTTCTCCTTTTGCAGCTCTCGACTTCCCTTCACCTCGGCATCATCAATGGTAGCACCAGAATTGGTATCAGGAATTTCTTCTTTGATGTGCTCACTCAGGATCACCCCTGTCTCGTCAATTTCATCGTCTAAAACAGTCACAGGACCCTCCGCCATCTCCAACCCTCCTGTTATCGTCTCTACTTCTTGTCCTCTCTTCTTTTTGGACAGTCTTTTTTGTTTTTGGTGTCGACGGATGCTGCCCACCCAATCTGTCCCTAATCGTTTGAGGACTTTCAAAGGATGCTTCTGTAAATTACCTTCTGTGGTTCCTGTCAATTTATTTTCTTTTAATGGGACTTCACTTGCTATTGGATTTAGGTCAGCCCTTTCTTTTAGTTCAAATACCTCTGCCATCTCAAAATTCTCAATTCTTTGCTCATCTACAGGCACCTTCTCCACATTGTGCACCACTGGTTCGGGATGAAACTCTATTGCCTGGTTGTCAACCTGAGGAAATGTTCCTTGCATTTCCACATTTTCATTTTCTTTCTCTTCAACCAACTTTCCATCAACTTCCTCACCTATCTTTCTTCCTTCTAGAAGAGCAACTCCAGTCTTTTGAATGTTCTCTTCCTTGCTCTCCTTCTGATCGAGCCCTTTCACGAAAGTGTCTTCGGCCCATTCTTCTGACAGTGACTGCTTTTTAAAAGTGTCCAGCTGTAGTTGTTCCATCATTTTATTTGCTGTACCTCCTGTTTCTAAAACATTTTCAGAAAGGTCTTCATCAGAAGCAGACATTCCATCTATCCTGGTTTCCTGAACCTCCTTATTCTCAGTCATTGCCTCTATTGCATTCTCCTCTTCCTGCGTGTTATCAGTGTTAGAACTTTGTGTTATAAGGTGGTAGTTGTTCTGGTCAGTGTATTTCAGTTCTACTTGAAGCTCAGTGGTTAGTTGGCTGGCCTGACTGATGATAGCTTCAGCTGGGTCAATTGGCTCAATAGTCAAATTGCTTTGAGTTGTAACTTGTTCATTTATTGCTGTGTTCACTTGGCTTTCCACATCATCAGGAAATTCCCACACATTTTCAGTTGTTAGCAAAGTAATAACTCCAGTTGTGTTTTTGTCACACAACTGTGCACCTTCTGCTCCTTCTCTGACCGGCGCATCAATTTTCTGAAATCGCTCATCATAATTCGAGACCTTGTCAAGATTTTCCATTCCTTGATTTGTTTCGACACTTGCCATCGCCTCCTTTTGAACCTGTTTTTCCTCTTCTGTTTCTTCTTTACGTTGTAGTATTTGCTGTTTCTTAATCTCTGCTAATACCAGAGAACATTCATTCATGATCTGCACGTTCTCACGTTCCTCCTTTGTTGTTTTTACGTCCATCTCTTCCTGTTCTTGATCACTCGCATTTCTTTGGCTAATCTGGTCTTCTTGTTTGCTGTAACTTTCCTCAACCTCTTGAGCTACTTCGCTTATGGCTACTTCAATAACGCAAATGGTCCCCGTTTCATTTTCTCCTCTGCTTTCATCCTCATCACCTTCAGCTTGTCCTTCTTCAGTAAATAACAGGGCATCTTCTCCTACTTCCTCTGCTAGTTCCACGTCTTCACCACCTGTTGGAGAATCCAGATCCGAACAAAAGACCAGTGGACTGCAGACAATGGCGCCGTTGTACAGGTCAGGGTTGGAACAGGAGCGTGACTGAGCCATTGAGAAAGCTTGAAAAATATTGAGTTATGTCAGGAAGAAATGCAGATCAGGTTTCTTTTTTCTCCTCAATAAATTAGGTTTATGAAGCGTTCCAGAGGAAATTAAGTTGGATTTTGATGGTCCAAGGCAAAAATAAAATAAAATCCTAGTCTCCAATATTGGTCCAGTGTTGAGTCATTTGTTAATAATAGGGTTTATCCAAAGTCCAGGAATTTTTAAAGCCTCTAGTCACATAAAAACATGACGAAAAAAATCTGAAGAAAATATATATATATTTTTTCCTGAAGTAAACTACAGCAATAAAATATTTCACAAGTTCCCAAATCCTAGAACTTGCTTGAAATTCCAAAGACGGTGGAAAACTTGTACCATCCTCTTGTATTGTTTTTTTTTTTTTTTTACAGAAGTTTTCTGAAAGGCTAAAGAAACTTCAGCATGTTTAAAAATCTAAGACGCCAACATTATTCACCTGAACTGTTAGGAACAGGCACCCTTTGACTCGTTCCTTGAAGACCCGGAGGAGCTCCTTTTACCGTACGGTTTGTCCAAAACAGTTAAACATCCGTAGAAACAATCTCCCTCTTTCACTCCGCTTCTCTCTCTCTCCTCAGGCGATTAAATGATGGCTTATCCCCACATGACCAGAGGCTTAAACCCCTCTGCCACCCGGGGAACGGCACCACCTGAGAGGAATTTTCGTGAAAACCCTTAGGTCTTATAAAAACAACTCGCACTCTAATCTTAACCAACATGCACAATATTGGACTTGACTTTTAAATGAGCTTATTCCACCAAGTAGTTCTCTCCTCGTCAACAATGGAGCCTGATCTTTTCTCAAATGTACAACAGAAAGCATGAGGGTGCTGAAGTCTTTCCCACTTTTAGCAGCAAGTTTTCGGTGTTTTCAAGTTTGGTCCATTTAACTACTGGAATGTTTGTCCGTTGTCCATGAGCAAACTGTTCCAGCTCCTTCAAGTCGACGCAATAATCTTTAAGTCAAACCAGGGATTCTGAGCTGGTTTGAGGTCTGGGATTCAATTCAATTCAATTCAATTCAAAAATACTTTATTAATCCCAAAGGGAAATTATTTGTTGTTGTAACTCGTTATCCTCATTTCATTAAGAGATGTTATAGACACTGATGGCTGTAGGCAGTAAGGATCTCTTGTAAAGGTCCATCCCATAGTGGATCCTAAGAAACTGGCTGCAGATGTCGTCCGATCCGTCCACCCAGACTCAGCTGGCCTCTCGATTCCCCCGGGCTGTAGGACCGCCCAAATGCCGGGCAGAACTCCTCCCAGAGCGATGGCCACTCCTCCCAGCAGTCTGCCGAGCTCCTCATCACTGCGGACAGCCAACTGTAGGTGCCGAGGGACGATCCTGTCCTTCCGCTGTCACGAGCCTTGTTTCCTGCTAGTTCCAGGATCTCAGTGGTCAGGCAATTGAGCACAGCTGGCAGGTAGATGAGAATGCATCTGCAGAACATCCTTTTCAACTCATTTGAGATTTGGGGCTGTAGTTGAGATATTATTTGAGCTTTTGAGATGTTATTCAGCTGGTTGGTTGTAGAAAACTGCCTTGTTGCCATGGTTACGCATCATAACAAATGTCCAAAACTAAAAAAGTTTCAGTAAAAATCCTTCCAGCTGCACAGCATTTGATACCAGAGGAAACAATCATCCAAAAAATGTGACTTACATCCAGAAAAAGAGGAATTAAAGTTTCCAAAAGCAAAATCTCAGGATGAAAGTAACAGAGCAACTCCAACACGCAGCCACCTTGAGCGGCGCAATTCTAGAACATGATTAGACTGGACCATTCCAGGACCGTAACTGGTGCTCCTTAAACCAATAAAGAGTAGCTTTAGCAGTGTGTTCACGGTAATTGTCCTGCTGGAAGGTGAATCTTCATCCCGGTTATGAATGTTTGAAACAGGTTTCCTTCTCTTTATTTTGCTCCATTCATCTTTCTATTAACTCTGATCAGAAAAACGTTACAGATTCATGATGCCGCCGCTGCCATGCATTGGTTGAATTTGTGGCAATACTTTTAGGCTTAGAACAAGGAGTATAATTTTCTTTTATCTAGATAGCCTTGCATTAGTATATGGGGTCTAAGCTCAACAAGATATAATTTATCAGTTTTATCATAACGTATGTTAAATAATATTCAAGCTAAATTATTATTTTTTGCTGATTTTGATTAAATTAGGAGTAAATGGAAACAAAAATTATTGCTAAATGATCATAATGGTCTGAACTTCAATGTTCAGTGAGGCAGAAAGTAAATCAGTTGTTAACAGTCACGTTTTATTAAAATATGACAGGAATATTGGGATATAAAAAACAATCTTATGGCATTCAAAAATATGTTTGTGCTACCAGAAAAGTAGAAAAAAATATAGAGGAGGAATCCACTTTTACTCGGATTATATTGGCTCTCTGAGGGGAAACAAACTTCAATTAGTAGAAAAAAACTCAATGGGTTTTCAGTAGATCAAACTGTTTCCATTTGTTTGATAAAAATACAGAACAAATGAACAAGAAAAAGCATGTTTAAGAAACTTGATTACTGTAAGCTTTATCTGTGCAATATACAGTATAATCTCTCTTGGGATGTCATAACATAAGTGGAAAAATTGGGCTCAAAATACGTTTTTTTTATGGAAAGACAATATCATGATTAAAAAAAAAAAAAACTTTCCCCTAATCAATAACCTCTTCCTAGTACATTGCATAAGAGCTAAAAAAAAAGTCAATAAAAAGACAAAAAATAACCTGCTCCAGGGTGAGTGTTGGTACCATAGTAAAAATTTTAATTTTCAGAATTTTCTTTTTCCCACTTAAGAATTCCAACAACAAAAAAAAGTTTTTTATTTGTTGTTTATGTACCAGTATTTTTACCAGTAGTTTATGTACCAGGAGTACATTATTCCCCTCTAGTCCAGCAGGTGGCGCTAAAACAATTACAGCTGCTTTTGCAACCACCATTAAACCAACGAAGAAGAAAAAAAATCTATTATTCTTATCAGAAAACATTCTGCCCTTTTATTATATCACTTTAGCGATAATCCAAAGGCCGGCGTCAGCTGTATTTTTATAATATATATTTAACTTTTTATTATTTTTTTAACGTTTGCTCAAGAGGAACGGTGTACGCTTCCTGAGATTAGCTCAAACTGCTAGCTCGCTAGGCTAGCGCTGCTATCAGGCTACCAGCATCAAGAGCAGCTTTAGCGCTTTAACTCGGACAAAACCGATGTGCACGGAGGTGTTGAACCTCCATCTGTCTTGTAAGTGCTGTCACATGTAACGTGTTCGTTGCTGTCAAACGTTAGCCTTGTTTATGTTTCTACAGCTGTGTTGTGGTTTTCTCCCCGCGTCTCCAGGAAGGACTCGTAGGTTCTCGCTATGGATGTACAGCAGGCTGTGAACGGAGCCGAGGAGGCCACGGTGGATGTCCAGTTTACCGATTTACCCAACGCCCTGATCGCCTGCAGAGTTCCCGAGGATCTGTTCAACGAGGGCCTCCTGAAGGTACTTTGATGTGCTCCTGCTTAAACTGCAGGTGCGTCCAGTCCTGGTCCACTATCCTGCGCGTTTCCCTGCTCCAACACACCTGATTCACTGCTTCACTTCCCTCTTCATGCTCTGCAGAAGCCTGGTTCAAATCAGGTGTGGTGAGTGGATAAACATCACTGAACATGCAGGGACAGCAAGGACCAGGATGCGGTTTACAGTTTGAGCTGTTTATGGGGGAGCGGTGGCACAGAGGTTAGAGAAGGCGAACCTGTGATCAGAAGGTTGCAGGTTCGATCCCCGTACAGACAACATCAAAATGTAAAGGGGAAAGGTGAAGCATCCACACCTGCCTCCACCATCCGTTCCCCCACTCTGAGCCCTTGAGCAAGGGCGGGGGAGCAGATGATTAAGTGTTGTAGAACAATAAGACTCTATGTTAAGATACAGAACAGATACCATGTCCTCCAGTTGCTCCTCACAGTTCCAGGAACTCATCTTAAGCGCAAAGGGGACAGGGCCTTCTCTGTAGCAGGACCAAGACTTTGGAACGAGTTACCTCTGCTCCCCTCCCTCTCGGTTTTCAAGTCCCGTTTAAAAATCCACTACTATTCGGTAGCTTTCAACACCAGATGATCTGTGTTTGAACCTGTGCGCTCCACACTGGTTAGTCGTCATTATCTGCATCGTTTTTATGTCTTTATTTCTGATTTACTTCATTTTGTATATTGTGCGTTACCTGTTGTTCTGTCTGTACAGCACGTTGGTTGGCCTCGTCGCTGTTTTAAGTGCTCTATAAATAAAATGGTACGGTATGGTAAGTGATACGGCCTTCCAGTTATGATGAGACCAGTTGTGTTATGTCTTCCTGATAAGCTTTGTTCAAATGAGCTGACAGTCTGAAGTCAGGCTAATTCTATCCGTTTGGATCAGTCTCATCCCAGGATGTTCTGCGTCACATTAACCAGGAGTTAAATGGGCTTTGAAGAGGGTTTTAAAAAAAATTAAGATTAGCAGTGAGTCACATTTCGGGGTGTCACATAAAATAAAATGCACTCTGGAGTGTAGGTCAGAGATAATGTATGCTAGGTACAGTTAGTCCGCATTGCTGATGAAATAAGTTCACTTCAAGAGGAGATTTTTAAAATAGAACAGTGTTGCATAAGATGCATGGATTTTTCCAAGTTTCCAGAGGATCTCAACATTTTTCATTCATCCATTATCTTTATCCGCTTCTTCCTTTCTGTGTTGTGGAGGTCACTGGTCCAGCAATAACTCTGGACAGGTTACAAGTCCATTACTTTGTAACTTGGACATAAACAACCATTCACACCTGTGGAGCAGCCAAACATCCATGTTTTTGGTCTGTGGGAGGAAACCGGAGTACCCAGAGAAAACCGTCACACGCACAAAGAGAGACAGAATTCGATCCAGCAACCTTCTTGTTGAGAGGTGACGGCGCTACCAAATGGGCCGCCGGGTTCCCGTAATATTTAATTCACCAATTCCTCACAGGAAAAACTGCTGTAGATGAAGAGTGCACAACAAACAACTACGATTCACACGAAGACACATTTAAACAGAGCAGCGGTCACAGGGAAAAGAAAGACAACGCTTTTCTTTAGTTTTAGGGAGTTCTGTACCACAATTTAATAGGGATGCACGATATTATCGGCATGGTATCGGTATTGGCTGATATTAGCGATAAAGTTAAATATCGGACATTCCACCAAAAGAACTCACCGATATAAAAGGCGCGGTTTTTGTATGACAACCCAGTGACAAGGATGCCTGCAGTGCCAGGCAGCACAGCGTTATGATGTCACGCGCGCCTACCTGATCTGATCACGGCGGGAGAGGAAGAAGTGAAAATGTCGGCGGTGTGGAAGTTTTTTTTAAAGTGTCGGAAGCTGATAGCAGAGCTGCTATTTGCAATGACTCAGTGTCAGTGATTCGAGGAGGAGAGAGTAACTGTCGTGAATAAATTTTAGGGGCGCACCGGTTGCAGTTTTCTGGACGATCGACGATCACTGATTTCTAAAAAGTCTGGCCTGCCGATTCCAATTATGGCCAATACCAATTTTTTAATCTTATTTTATTGAAAAACATACCCTTGAACAATATCCTAGAAACAATAAAAACTTGTTTTAACTGGCCATGAGGTAGTGCTCTGAAATATAAATGAAGTTCAGACAATTGTTAAAACTAGGGATGGGGCCGATCCAGTATCAATATCGGCATCCGATACCAGCATAATTTACGTATCGGATATTTCCGATCCATGATGCATGTTGGCTTCAAACTATGGAATGGATTTCCTGAACGGAGGCGTGTCTCATGAACCCAGAGTAATAAGACCCGCCTCACATTCAGGAAATCCAGTTCATAGTTTGCAGCCAGCTACAACGTGAGGACTGAGTTAGCAGCACTGTGGCTAACAGCTAACAAACTTTTCATCTAAACATGTCCGCTGTGTAGAAGTATTTTACACTAGAAAAACCACAAAACAAGACAGGAACGTGCAATGTCTGCAGAGCCATAGTGCCACATTAAACCACGGTAAAGTTAGTTTTACGATGGACATTCGAGCTCCGGGGCTTCAGCGGGACGCTGCTCTTTGCTCAACCCGAAACGGGCAACTCGACCCCGGCCAGCCGCGTCCTCTCCGTCTCTGAGGAGGGGCTGACTGAGTGCGGCTGACCGAAATCAGGCTACTTGCTTTGGATTGAACAAGAAGAAGACATAGCTGAATTCACGGAGCTCGAATGTTTACCGAGAAGTTGCTAAACTTCATCATAATTAATGACCAACCACTATCAGTTGTAGAAAACGAAGGATTTCTCAGCTTGATACTTGCAGCCAAGATATAGTTTACCCTCCAGAGATATTTATCAGTACAACAGTAGACAATCGTAAAAAAACATCAATTCAAAAATACAAGATTATATATATATATATATATATATATAAAACTTATCCAACATTAATAAAACTTACCTCAAGTTGCCTTTTTGGACATGCATGCATATATTTGTACAAACTGTACTTGAGAGGAGATTATTACAGCCTCATAAAATCAATGATGATGAAGATATCGGAACTGGATCGGTATCGGCCGATATTCAGATTTAGGTATCGGGATCGGATCGGAAGTAAAAAAAAAAAAAAAAGGTAGATTGGTGCATCCCTAGTTAAAACTAAACAAATCTGTAAAATCGGTTTCTCATGCAAGTATTGGCCGATTTCCCAAAGTTAAGGAAATCGGGGGCGATAAATCGGTGCACCCCTAATAAATTTGGCATTAAACATAATCCAAGTTGAAGTATTACATCATTTTCAGTCCCCTTTTTGGCATCTACATTTGGTAACAGGCCAAACTGACTAAAGATCATGCAGAATAATGTAGAATTTTAATTCCACAGCAGAGAAAGCTATGTAGTCTCTTTAAGTAAGTGTAGGGGGAAAAATATCGATTGGTATCGGTTATCAGCCAAATAAGTTTAACATACAGTATTGGCATATCGCTTATTGTCCAAAAATCCTATCTCATGCATGCCTACAATACAATACAAATTATTGGGTCTTTACCAGGTTCTATAATAGTTCAAATCTAACCTGAAGTGTTTCACAATCGTCTCAACATTTAATTAGAAAAATGAAGCCTAAATGAACAGTTCGTGTGGAAAGTAATCGTAAGTACAACCCCGGTCCACTCTTCTTTCCAGCGTTGCCTAAGTTCAAGATGACGTTTGTTTCTGCTCAGCTCTCTTCAGAACCCACATCAGTATTTCAATCAGGCTGAGGGACTTTGGACTGTTGGAACACCTTGATTCTTTTCTTTTTAAGCCGTTCTGTTGTAGATTAGCTGCTTTGTTTGGGATCATTGTTTTATTGCTTCATGACCCAGTATGGTCCAAGCTTCAGCTGTTGGGCAGATGGCCTCACATTTTACACTAGAATGTCTACAGTGATCTCAGCGACTGTAAGGTGACCTGAACAAGCCCAATTCTGAAGCTCATACCACCGTCTTGACAGTTGGTATGAGTAGTTTTGTTTTTTTTTATTATTTTTTTTTATTAAAGATTTTAATCACACATTACAAACATCTGTTTGTCAGGGGTATAGATATTAATGTAAAAGAGATAATATTCTAGTACAAAACATAAAAAACCATGAAATTATATTTACAATTTATACAGAGTTTAAATTCACAATTTATACAGAGTTTAAATTCACATTAAGCTTTTCCAGAGTTGAGATGGTTTTCATTGCCTTTTGGTTTTCCAGTCCATTAGTTGAGGTGATGTATTGAAGAAGTTCTTTGCTGAAATGGGTTATGTTTGGTTTGGAGTTGGACCATTTTTTCTTGTGAATGTGAAACTTTCCCAGGAGAAGTAGAAGTTGGGTGAAGTGCTATAAGTCTTTATTCGTGCCTTTGTCTTCAAAGCATAGTATAATGTCTTTCTCTGTAAGCTGAATTATTTGTCCAGTTTTTTGCTGTATGAATTGTTGCACATCTCTCCAGAATGAGATTGTATGAACACATTGATAGAATAAATGAGAAATCGTTTCTATGTGTAGTTCACAGAATGTACAAGAATAGTGTATGAGTAGTTTGTGCTGATATGCTGTGCTAGATTTGCTAAACCTGCTGTTGTGCGTTATGGGTAATTTCTACTTGGGTCTCATCTGTTCAAAAGACATTGTTCTAAACATCCATTGGCTCATTCAGATTAAACAAATTCAGTGGTGAGCACAGCTAACCAAAAAGTTAGCTTTGCTAACTCGTATTTTGATAACAAAAGAATTAGCTTTGCTAATGCTAAACCTCAAAATGGGTTAAAACAAATTAGCTAAAGCTAAATCTCTAAGATCTGTCACTCAGTCTGCGTCGCGTGTTTTCTCCTTCTAATTGAAGCGATATCGACCAATCACATCTTGTCACGTGTACATGCAGTAAGCCAGTAGCATGCCAAATGGACTCTTCGAGCCACGCCCACAACGGACGGGAACAAGCT